GGGCTTGTGCTCGCACCCCTGCTGACCTCAGTTTTGCGGATGGTGGGTCTTCCCTAGGACTGACTGTGGCTGGAAGGCAGGCGTGGGCCGGAGCACGCAGCGGGTCCTTGTCAGCATTGGTGACTGAGGAGCGGACCGCGTGGGGACATGTCCGGCGTCCTGAGGGTGGCAGAGCACTTTGGAAACCAGGAGAGGTTTTTGGTCAGTGTTACTGGGACCAGGAGACCTGTGAAGAGCTGGGTGTGCCTTGCCCGGAGAGCTGGCTGCTGGCAGCATTGGGATAAAGGAGGCTTCTGTGCAGCTGGCCAGGGGCTGCCTCCCGCCTGGGGTGACTTATTCCAGAGCCATGTGCCTCTTTCCTGTCTGGGGTGTCCGTCCCCCCCCCCCGCCCCCCCACAGCTAAGTAGCAGCGTCCTGGAGCCGAGTCCTCTGGGCACGAGGTCTGGGCCTGGTCATGTCCTCCCTGGGCGTAAAGCCCAACACTAGGTAGTCCCGTGACCTTGGACGAGGTACTTCTATATTCTGACTGCATCTTAGTGTCCATCTCTGTAAAGCAGGCTGATGACACAGTGTTTTCCAGAAAGAACTGTTGTGAGGGGTCCTCAGTGAGGCGTGGGTGCTCAGCAGGGGGCCTGGATCTCAGGAATGCTGGAGGCCACTTCGATAGCCTGGATGGGTGGCCGCCATCCCAAGGCCGCCCTGTCTGGCTCGGTGGCTGACACTGGCTGGTGCCCAAGCCAGAGTGAAATGAATCCTGTACCGGAAATGGCTTTTGATAAGGTGGAGTGCAGGCGATTTTCTCGGGGTGGGGGTGGGGATGGGGGACAGCGAGCAGGTAGTCCCGCAACCTGTTGGGCAGGTGGACTGCTGTCTGGGGGGCGGCTGGTGTGAGTGCCTCTCTGGGAAGGCCTGCCCCGCTCAGCAGGTCTTTAGGTGACTTGCCAGAACACGCAGACCTGAAACTTCTTAAATGTCCTTCTCTTCCCTCCCCAAAGCTGCCTGCGCTGGGTTTTAGGCGTGTCCTCTGCCGAGTGGCTGCATTTTCTTCCAGGCCACCAGTTTCCACATGCTCTGCCCAGCAGCGCCTGGGGACGGAGGGGTGGCAGGGAGGGTTGCACGCAGGCGGACTCCCCCAGGCCGGCACATGTGGCTCACATCTGTTTGTGTGACGCCGCGGGTCCCAATGAGGTTTTGCTGGAGGGAAACACACATGGACTCTGCTGCCTACAACAGAGGCAAAGCCGCCTGCATGGGAGGCAGGCTGGGTCTGTGCCTGCGTGAGCACCGGGCGCCTCCGCCAGCTCTCGTCCCGCAGGTCCGGGCGTGAGTCACGCTGGCAGGAGCTGGCCCCTGACCCGGAGAAAGTGCCCCTGATTGGGAGAAAGCGCCTCTGACCCGGAGAAAGTGCCCCTGACCGGGAGAAAGTGCCCCTGACCCGGAGAAAGCAGAGAAATGCCTTTTCTCACCTCCTTCGCTCCTGACTCTCACCCCGCCGCAGGCTCTTTGCTGCACTTCTTTCCGCCCTGGGCTGCGGCGAGTGGAGTGTGTGTGTGTGTGTGTGTGTGTGTGTGTGTGTGTGAGGGGGGCGGGGAGGAGACAGACAGAAATCCAGCAGGTCTATGGAAGCTGTCTAAGTCCCTGCTGACAGGCAGTGCTCCTGGCCTGATGTTTGTGGAAACCAGCGGGGCAAGCGGGGTAGCCAGATGGGTGTGGGCTGGGCGAGGCCCCACGTACGACACTGCGTACAATTGGGGGGAACCGGGTGATGGCATCTGCGTTCTGAATTTGGGTCCAGTGACGTCTGGCTTCCTGACAGGCCGGCGTGAGTCTGTCAGCTGCGTAGTGCTTGTGGGCCTGGGTCTGTTCCTCTGGGGGCTGACTAACTGGCCAGTCGCTGCCGCAGGGGAAGCTGGGCGGGAAGACCTCCGTCTGTGCGGCCTTACTGTGGAAGGTTAAGATGAACAAGTACCAGCTCCTCCCCCACGCGCTGTTGCCGTAGCAATGGTGACTCAGTGGCACTGGCTGGCAGCACCAGGTTTGTAGGAATGCAGGACCCAGCCCCAGCAGCCCTGAGACGCTGCTTTGACTGAAGCATTGGGAACTGGCTGGCACGTTTGGAATCTAGTCTTTGATGGGGAAACCGAGGTCCAGAGAAGCCGGTTGTGTGTCCAACTAGTGCAGAACTCGGTTAAGAAATTGGGGGGGGGGTCTCTCTAAGGAAATCGTCCCTGCAGGTTTAGTGCGGACCTTTGTGCAGTTTGACCTGTCTGGTGTCCTGAGCCTCTGATGGGAGCTTTTCATCTGGACACAGTAGGTGATCAGTTCCTGGTAACTGGTCTGCTGAGAGGAAGGTGCAAGCACCTCACACCTCCAGACAGTCTGACTTCCCCCAGGGCTGCTCCTGTTGGCCAGCTTCCTCCTCTTTCTCTTGTTCAGGGGGCCAGTGCTGGGGTGGCCAGCCTGGACCGGGGAGTTCTCGGAGGAGGTCTGTTCGCAGGAAGACACTGAGCCGTCTGTCCAGTCTGACCTCTGCCTGGGCGGGGCCTGAGGGAATTCGCACTGGCCGGAGTTTGGACTCTGATTTTAAGGATCCTTTTCAGCAAGTGCTTTCTGGTCAAGTCTCAGAATCACAGACACTGGACTTTTAGCAATCACGCATGATAGCATTTAATGCGGAAATTTGGTGATCCGGAATGGCTGGTAAAGGATTTTGCCTTCTCTTGCCTTTGCCAATTTGGTTTTTAATTTAGTAAGAACTAGCCACGTGGATTTGAATTAATGACGCTCAACCTGCCGTCCTGTGAGGTGTGTGGTGGGAAGGAGGCACCCCTGGTTTTATTTAGAAATGGTCGGGTGAAAGCTGTGGCTGGGGAGAGCCCAGAGATAGCTGCAGTTGAGCATTTTTCATCATTGAGCCAGAGTGAAAGATTCCAGAACATGCTGCTTGTAATTAGCCCCGTTGACTGTGGGTGGGCCCCTCACTTATGTGGGCTGGACGGTGTAAGCTGGGGGTGTGTCCAGCTTGTCCTCTGATGTACATATCCCAGGCCCATAAGAAAAGTATGTTGAATAGCCCTGCCGTTTGGCTCAGTATAAAGAGCGCCAGCCTGCAGACCAAAGGGCCGCGGGTTCGATTCTGGTCAAGGGCAGGTGCCTTAGTTGCAGGCTCCTCCTCAGCCCAGGCCCTGGTCGGGGCTCATGCAGGAGGCAACCAATTGATGTGTGTCTCTCATATTGATGTTTCTATCTTTCCCTCTTCAGTTCTTCACCCCCCCCCCAAAAAAAAAATCAATGGAAAAATATCCTGAGGTGCTGATTGACAACAACAACAACAACAACAAATTTGTTGAATAAACGAGCATATTAGTTTTATCTTGTTGCTATGGACATCACCGTACATTAGGGACATAAAACACCCAGCTGGTTCTCTGGCCGTTCCTTCGTCTCAGGGTGTCCACACACCGTGCTCCTCTGGAGGCTCCGGCGAGTCTGTTTACTTGTCTTTTCCGGCTTCTGGAGGCCCCTCCTCTGCCCTTGGCCTCTGCCATCCTAAGGCGCATCACCCACTGCCACGTCCCGACCCCCCTCCCGCCTCTTCTCCTAAGGACCCTGTGATGCCATCGGGCCACCTGGATAATCCAGGATCCTCTCCCCATTTCAGACCCCGAGTGTAATCACACCTGCCCAATGCCTTTGACAGTGGGCCGTGACGTGTCCCCGGGTTCTGAGGCTGGAAACACCCCACTTTGTTGGAGGAGAAGGAAGTGCTTCCTGAGCAGCCCTGCAGAGCCCATGGGCTACCCCCTCCTGGTGGTAAAAGGCGCATTTCTGTTCTGACACCCCTCCCTCCTTTTGGTGGCTTCTATTTGTTCCCCTGCTCCAGCTTTTGGCCTCTCCAGGGATGGGGACCTTTGAAAGTACTTGTTTTAAGACTTTTTCTTTTATTTATTTTTAATATTTTTATTGATTTCAGAGAGGAAGGGAAAAGGAGAGAGAGAAACATCACTGATGAGAGAGAATCATTGATGGGCTGCCTCCTGCAGGCCCCACACTGGGGCTCGAGCGTGTAGCCCAGGCCTGTGCTCTGACCAACCCCTGATGCTCAGCCCCTGAGCCATGCGGGCTGTGCCTGAGGGAGTCTTCATTTCCACAGCTTATGGCCTGGAAGCCAAACAGCAGCCATGATTTCACCTGAATGTGCTTGGGTTTTCTGGAGAAGGAGATGTTTTGGCACCGCTGGTTTAGAACTGTGATTTTGAGTAATTGCTTCTGAATCTGAAATAGTTGTACTATGAATACCATTTCTACCTTTTGGTTTGGGGGGAGCATCAGAAATACCAAATGGGAGCAAGACAGCGATTTCTTGATGTTCGGAAACCTTCTCAGTCCTTTGTCGAATCTTAAGGTTGCAGTTCTGCGGACCCCAGCCTTCTGGGAGCACTGGCTTCTGGTTTCCACGCCTGCAGCTCAGGGAGCCCGCTCTTGAGGCCTGAGCACGCCTTCTCTCTGGGTGCTGGTCCTGTATTTGGACAAGTCTCACCCGACTGTTCCGGGTGACGGGCCGCCTTCAGTTGCTTCCCTCGGATTTGGTGACGCTTGTCCTCCGTGGTGGGGTGTGCGCCTGCCGCCCTGTTCTGCCCGCCGTGCCTCTGATGTCACGTGGGGAGGCTGAGGCACCACGGACAGAGCTGGCCTTCCCCGTTGTGGATGAGCAGTGCTGGGTCACTGGGGTGGGGGGGAGTGATGGCAGGATCAGCAAGTCCACAGAAAGCTCTGTGAACGTGACAGAGCTGCCTGTGCATGGTGAGGGTGGTTTCTGGGGAGAGCCCACAGCTTTCTCTGGATCTGCAGGGAGATCCATGACCCTAAAGGGTTTATTCGCTGGGTCAGAGGTTTGGTGGATTGACACTTTTTTTTTCTTTTTTTTTTTTTTTCCCATTTCAAAGGCAGATTGGGGCGGCGCCGAGAACAATTTCCTTACTAGATGACATTTCATCGCAATGTCCGATCGTTTGGGGCAAATAACCAAGGGCAAGGATGGGAAAAGCAAGTATTCAACGCTCAGCCTGTTTGATAAGTATAAAGGAAAATCAGTAGACGCAATCAGATCCTCAGGTAAGACCCGGGTGGGGCCGGACCTTCCCGCTTTGCCTTCAGTGAGAAACCCCTGGCAAGGACCTTGGGAGCCGTCCTTCCTGTGGGCAGGGAGTGGTCACCCGTCTTTCTGGGAAGCAGTCGGGCCCCCCCCCCCCCCCCCCCCGGTCTGATTTCATACCCTGACTCTGCTGGGGGGGCTGCTTCCCTCTCCTCTTATCTCACTGAAACCGGGGGTATTTTTAGCCTGTGGTTAGAATGGAGCTGCATTTGCATTAGACTCACCCGGTTTAGGTTTCATGGTTCCAGGACTCTGGAACGTGGTGGGAAAATTCCTGCCGATGCTATCCCTCCCCCTGGGGGTTTTATGAATGCCCAGGCTGGCGTAGTCTCGGCCCAGGCGTGGTCCTTTCAGTCCCGCTGTCACGAGGCCAAAGGGGCTCACCGTGTGGGACTGGGGTGCTGGGCTGGCCCGACACAGATCGTGAGCTCCCGAGCCTTCTGCCTGCTGTGCAGATGGAAGCTTCCGGGTCCTCCAAGGCCTTGGCCAAGGGCTTGTCAAGTGACTAGAGTGACCCCCAGGCAGAGCTGTTGGTTTCCCTGGCAGGCCGCCCCTCCTCTTTGTTCCACTGCCTTTGTCAGGAGCACTGGGTTTGTAAGAGCAGCTGAATGGTCTGGCCTCTGCTTCTGTAACCCACCGGGCGGGGTCTGTTTCCCCCCGTCTCCCTGCAGTTATTCCTAGACATGGCTTACAGAGTCTCGGGAAAGTTGCCACAGCCCGGCGTATGCCACCGCCCGCAAACCTGCCAAGCTTGAAGTCTGAAAACAAAGGAAACGACCCCAACATCGTTATAGTACCCAAGGACGGGACGGGATGGGCAAACAAGCAGGATCAGCAAGACCCAAAGAGGTGAGAGCAGAGGGCAGGCGGCTCCGGCACCTCCTGCCTGCACCGGGCGGCGGGGGACGGGAGAGTCCCAGGCAGGTCTTCCGTGCTGACCTGCTGCCTCGGTTCTCGCTCCCTGCCTGCTGTCTTCCTGCTCTTTTTATATATTTATATATATTTATTGATTCTTTTTTACAGAGGAAGGGAGAGGATAGAGATTAGAAACATCGATGAGAGAGAAACATCAATCAGCTGCCTCCTGCACACCCCCCACTGGGGATGTGCCTGCAACCAAGGTACATGCCCTTGACCGGAATCGAACCCGGGACCCTTCAGTCCGCAGGCCGATGCTCTATCCACTGAGCCAAACTGGCCAGGGCTCCTCTGCCTCTGGGAGCCATGCAGCAGCATTTCCGTGGGCCGCCTGGTCCCGGTGCCCAGCTGCACCTCTTGCCCCGCACCTCACGGTCCGGCTGCTGAGGCTCGGGACCCAGAGCAGCTGCTGAGCGGCGTCCTCCCGCTCGCTGGGACGGCCACACAAGCTGTTGTGAAGCTTCTCTGAAGTTCCTCCAGGCGGGGTGGAGGGCGGGAGTAAATAGCCAGATCTTAAAGCAGCAGCAGCAGCAGCCACAGTAGCGACCTAAACGCTATCTAACATTTTCTGACAGTTGCTTGGGCATCGTGCTGGTTGATGGTGTAGTGTGACTTAGTAACGGACAGGCGTGCGGGATGCCAGCTAAGCAGCCGTTAGCTCTGTGGCACCTGGAGCCTCATTCGCTTCTGAGCCTCGTGTCCTGGGAAGTAAGAGTAGCCGGCGCCGGGGCAGTCTCAGGAGATGGATGAGAGCACCAGGCCAGCTCCTGAGCACAGCCTGGCTGGAGGAAGTGCGTGGCTGGTGCCAGCCGCTACTATCATCTTCTAATCAAATGGTGGACACTGCAAACTAGAAAAAATGGAAATCACATTCCAACACAAGCCTTGAAATGCCCGTGCTGCAGACAATTCTAGGGAAGACGGAGCCTGCTCCTGCCTAGTACCTGTTCGCACACGGCTGGCACAGAGCGCTGCAGCTCTCAGCCGGGACTGCCTGCCGGGAGGAGGGGGAGTGTGAGAGGGAAGGCAGCAGATCAGGCCGGGGCTCTGCTGCTGCGGGGCTGCCCTCCTGGGCGGAGTGAGAGGTGGGAGGGGATGAACCCTTAGGCAGCACGGGAAGCTCCTGCTCTGGGTAGAAGGTCGTGTGAGAGGATCGACGGCCTTGGTTTTGTAAGGTCAGAGTGGGGGTGAGTTATTTGGATGAAGTGAACTTGGGAGAGTTGGTGTCGTGTAGGATTGGACTGAGCTTCCAGAGGAAGCACCAGCAGTGGGTGATTCTGGCGAGTGGATGGCTGACTCCTCCAATCTTGCCTGGCAAGAGCGTGAGTAGGAGAGACTGGAAGGCTGCTGAGCTGGCAGAAATCTTCCTTCCGGACCCTCTCTTGTTACCTTCTCAGATGACCTATGAGCCCTGGCCAGTTTGAATCAGTGGTCAGTGTTGACCTGCAGACTGAAGGGTCTGGGTTTAATTCCCAGGTCAAGGCCAGTGGGGGAGGCAACCAATCAATGGGTCTCTGACATGGATATTTCTCTCTCTCTCTCTCTCTTCCCTCCCCCCTTCTCTCTCCATTCCACTCTCTCTAAGAATCAATGGAAAAACATCCCCCGGTGAGGATTAAAAAGTAAAGATTACCTGTGGGCTGTAAACTGATACAACTTTTTTTTGCAGGGAAGTTTGGCAATATCTTTTAAACTTCAAAACATCTTTTGATCTCTAGCCGGTTTGGCTCAGTGGTTAGAGCGACAGCCTGCCAGACTGAAGGGTCCCAGGTTTGATTCTTGTCAAGGGCACATGCCTGGGTTGTGGGCTTGATCTCCAGTGGGGGATGTGCAGGAGGCAGCCAATCAATGATTGTCTCTTATCATTGATGTTTCTGTCCCTCTTTCCCTCTCCCTTCCTCTCTGAAATCAATAAAGATATATTTAAAAAATTAAAAAAACACCCACATCTTTTGACCCAGCAATTCCATTTCTAAGAATTGACACTTCTGAATTATACAGAGGTGTACGAAGGTGTTTATACAAAAATGTTCATTGCAATTGTACTTTTAATAGAAAAAATGGAGATTGGTAAATTATGGTTGACAGTTGTACTGTGTCATTAAAAGAAAGAGGGAGGTCCCCATGTGTTGTCATGAAAAGATGTTAAGTAAAAAACAAGTTACAGAATTGTATATGAGTGGCGTTATTCCACTCGTGTTAAAAATACTCTATTGTGTTGAAAAAAACTGCTTGGAGTTTCTCTCTGGAGGATGAGGTCACGAGAGATTCTGTTATATGCATTTATAAATTTAGTTTGCTGTGAGCATATGTATTTTACAAGCTAAGAGATGGTAAAGATTCTTCTATATCTGCTGTTTCAACGCAGTCAGCCCAGAGGAGCCTCGAGTGCTTGGTCAGGAGGGAGGGACTCGGAGCCCCTTCTGTGCAGTGACTCAGTTTCCCCATGGGCAGATCCTCCATGGCTTCATTGTTCACACGAGCTGTCAGTGTTGGCAGACAGAGGCCTGTTCTGCCCAGTCGTTGCCAGTAGGAGCGTCTCCGGGGAGGGTGCTCCCTCTATTGGCCCGAGGGGTCTTGTCCCAGTGAGCCGCTGATGAGCAGCCGCGGCCTTGGAAATGCAGAGGGGCCTTGTCGGCGTGGCCTCACCGTGTGTCCGCCTCTGTCTAGTTCCAGTGCGACGGCCGCTCAGCCGCCGGAGTCGCAGCCGCAGCCGGGTTTGCAGAAATCTGTCTCCAATTTACAGAAGCCGACTCAGTCAATCAGTCCGGAGGTAGGTGCTGGAGACCCTCGCCCAGTGGCCATGTGTGGGAGCCACCAAACGCTGCCACCGAGACGGGTGGCTTGGCTTGGCTTGCTGATATCAACCGCAAGCTGATGGAGAAGACCCAGACAGAGCGGGACACGGGCACCTAGGCTGAGTCTGACTCCCGTGGGGTGAAGTCGCTCAGGTAGATAATGGGCTGGATCGGACCCCCGGCTGTGCTCCAAGGAGACCAGTGCCGTAAGCAGACAGTCTGCAGTGGCCATGGAGGGGGGAGGCTGGGAAACTGCGTTTGGAAGCTCCTTTTTAACATGCTAACGTGCATCCTGGCTGAGAGGGGGCGTCTTCTCAGCATCTTGAACATGCTATTGTGCACCCTGACTGAGGGGACAGCGGGGACAGCAGGCCCCAAATTGACTGCCCTCGGAAACCTTTCTAACGAGGTCTCTAGGGGCCGGTTGTGTCTCGGAGCCTCCTTGGGAGTTACCCAGCTGCAGTAGTCGCTTGTTGTTGATGCATTAACATGTTTTCCTAAAGAGAAAGGCGTGGCTCAGCCGAGCAAGAGCTCACGGCCCACTGAGCCCGTTGGAGTAGGTGGGTCCCAGAGACCACAGCTCACGCTTGGCTGGTGGCTAGGACCCAGGTGAGAAGTGTTGAGTATTTTAGATCCAAAGAAATCTAGACAAGACTCCTAGCACTCCCCAGACTCTTGAAAACAGCAGGAACTACCGAACTTTGGTCTGTGGTGCCTCCTGGCAGTGGTCTGAGATGCCGTCCCCGTCTGTGGGGAAGTTTATGGCTTTGCCAGAAGGAAATCCCACCCGACAACACCGAACTTGCACTTTTAAAATTAAAGAGAAAAGCCATATTCGGGTGAAGTTCCATATTCATTGGCCCAAATCCACTGGGGTCTGCGAGCACATAGCGTTGAATCCGTGTGTTTCTCAGAATTTGAAACTAAATAAGATTGCGGAGCCTGGTTTCAGCCCTGGTGCGCAGCTCACTTGCCTTGGGAGCTCAGGAGTATGCGGGGGGGGGGGGGGGGGGGGGCTCACCCCTGGAGAGGCGGGAGTCACCGGGCACCTGGTGAAAGCCATTGTGTGGGGCACTCTCGGAGCCTGGGGTAGCACAGCCCTGCCCGGTGCTCGGCTCTCCTCAGCTGCTGCCTGGCCTTCTCTCAGGGCAGAGGTGCTGAGAAGAGACTCCCACTTTCTAAAACCTGTAGGTTCGCTTGGGGTAAAGTTCACGGGCAATAATAGTAACCCCTCCTTGGCCCTGTAGCACCTCATCCAGTTTGGCTGCTTATAGACACCAAAGGGGGGGCTGTGGGTTGGCCCTGGTGCCCCTCTGCTTCCTGCTGTTCTGGAGGTGCACCCCTCCTGGGGGTGGGGCTGTCCCCCCAGCTGCACGGTCCCCTCAGGTGGTCCTGTGGGCAGCCACCATGGCAAGCATTCAGGGCAGCTCCCAGTCAGTCTGCGCTAGAGAGACAGCCCTCCCGTGAGAGTGTGCGGGAGGGGGTGGGCTGAGAGAGGGGTCATGGGCAGGGCACCTATTTAATTAGGTACCCACCCCAGTCACTGATGGGTTTTGCTCATGGCGCTCTGTGCTGTAGCTTACCTTCCTTTGGGAGGGGCCCGCCAGCTGGATGCTGCTGAGAAAGGGAGCTCCTGAGCTGATCCCCTCGGCCCGTGGCTGTGGACGCGTGGGCATCGTGGTGGGACCTGGGGCGGCCATGAACACCCTCCCACGAGCTTGGGGAGCAGACAGCCAGCCGATGGGCGGACTCTCTAATTCTCTTCCTTTTTCAGAACACAAGTACAGTGCCAGGTGGACCAAAGTCATGGGCACAGCTGAATGGAAAGCCAGCAGGACACGAAGGTGGTAAGTGGGAAGAGGTGGGCAGGATGGTGCACACCTTTTCGGACCATTCTGGTTGGGTCTAGGTTTCTTGGCCTAACGCTCTGTGAGTCCCTCACCTGCGAGTCACTGCCCTGGGGGCCGGGAGGAAGTGCTGGTTTGAAGATGTATTGGGGTTGGCATTGGGGCCCTCGGGGAGCCCGAGTGCGCTCTGCCAGCACTGATGCCAGCGCAGCACCACGCACCCCCGAGGAGCCCACCCCGGCGCCGTGGCTGTCCGTGCTTGGAGTGCAGAGACTGAGGATCCTTGCTGCTGACCTCACTGGCTCATAAGTCCTTCTGGTTTTCTTTCAGGTTTAAGGGGCTCAAGCCGACTCTTATCCTTCTCTCCCGAGGAATTTCCGACGCTGAAAGCAGCTGGAGGGCAGGACAAGGCTGGCAAAGAAAAGGGCGTCTTAGATCTGTCGTATGGGCCCGGACCAAGCCTCCGCCCTCAGAGTGAGTGGCCGCAGCCTGTGCGGGTGGGCACACTGACCTTTGCCTGACCTCTGCATCCACTGGACTTGAACCCTAGGCTGGTCGGGAGGTCACCCTTCTTTCTTGTGTTGGGGCGGCCAGGCCTGCCTGCCTGCCTGCTCTCATCAGAAAGTTCTGCTATGCCAGGTGGTCATGACAAGGATGGCCGGGCCACGGACCAACTGCCCCGTGTCTGATTCAGGAGCGGCTCTCCCCAAGCCGAGTGCAGTGCCATCCGGGTCACTTGGGGAGTGTGTCAAGGGTGTGACTTCCACCTCCCCACCCGGCCAACTTAAAGCCCTGTTTTTAACATGTGCCCTTACGTAGCCCACTCAGCGCTGATCTCCACAGCCCATCCTCGGGTCTGGTCAAGGAGGGGAGGGGTGTGGAGTGCTACCTGATGGTGATGTTTTAGAGGCTGTGGGTGGCCTAAGGTGTTATTGAGGAATGAGATCTACCCTGTTCTACCCAGGGATTCTGAAATGGCTCTTGTCTTTTGGGAGGTGTCAGGGAGATGCTTGATCGGGTCTTGAAAAACACGGGGCCTGTGTTTGCTTGTGGTGCTTAACCCCCAAGAGCTGAGTCCCGGGAGGAGATGGTCGCCTGCAGCTCTCCTCAGCGCCGCCTTCCGGTGGCCTGCGCCGCGTTGAAGACGTCCTGCAGTTTCTCCGGCCAGGAGCGGGGGCGCTCTGGGTCCGACTGGATGAGCTGCTTTACACACACAGAGCATGGAGGAGCTCCTGGGACAGGTTTCCTCTCTTTTGAGAGGTGACCCCGACAGGGCGTACCCGAGCCACATGCGGGGCTTGGAGGGCTAGACTGAAGCCAGTGTGGCGGCTTCCACACTCAGGGGCCTTTGTGTTTCAGTGTCACCCACCTTAACTGAAGCCAGCAGTCACGTGGCTCTGGCAGTGTCTCCGGGGCCTGAGATTCCACCAGACCTGCTGCCTTTGCAGTTGGCAGCAGCATGGAGAAAGATGGCTCCGTCCGCAGGCCACCTGGGCCCTGCAGGAGGCCCCGGCCGGGGCAGGGTAGGCGGCCAAGGCCTGTGGCAGTCCAGACCCTTCCAGCCAGAGGGTCTCTGTGCTCTGCTTCGTCTATAAACCTGGGGCACTCTCCTTGATGAGAGGGGCCAACGCTCAACGAAGTGTGGAACACGCCAGAACTCACTCTGGTTTAAGGTCAAGTCCAGGGCTGCAGGCAGGGCCGACCTCCGGGGCTGGGGCGTCTGGAAGGAGCCGCGGCTGTGTCCATGGGGCTGCCTGGTGCCGCTTCGGAGGACTGGCTCCTGTCCGCCAGGGAAGACGGCACACTCGCCGCCGCCTCTGGCGACCCCGTCTGTCTTCCCGTCAGGCTCCCTCGGCAGGGGCACCCGCTGTGGCCAGTGCTGTCCGCCCACCTCCCCACACACGTGACCAGGACTCTCCTCTTCACTCTCTGTTTTTTGGGGGGGTTTTGGTGAATGAGGCCCACTCTCCACCCCCCGCCTGATTACATGCCTTTAAAATACTCTTTGTTTTCGAGTTAAGTTTTAGTTACATTGAAAGACACACATCTTAATCGTCCACTTTTGACAGTGAATGAGGGGGTCCCTTGGCCTTCAGAACTTCATACAGTCCCTCCTCCCCCTCCTCTTCCCCACCCCTCTGCCCCCTTTCTCTTTCCAGATGTGACCAGCTGGAGGGAGGGTGGTGGGCGAAACATAATTTCTGCCACGTCTCTGAGCGCCGCCCCCACTGAGCTGGGCAGCAGGAACGCGAGTGCGGGAGACGGAGCCCCCTCCTCGGCATGCACCAGCGACTCCACGGACCCCTCTCTCCGCCCGGCCCAGCCTGCCCGCAAAGGGGCTTCACAGTTCATGGGGAATGCATACCACCCACCTACATACCACGACATGCTTCCTGCTTTTGTAAGTCTCCGAGGGTGCGTTCCCCCGCAGTCAGCGGCCCGTGCCCCGTAGAACTGCCTCACGGGGGTGGGGTCACCCCTTCCTCACGCTTTGCCCCGTGCCCTGCGGGGAGGTTTCCATTCAGGTTCCGCTTTCTCCTTCCCGGTGCGAGGGCCTCGGCTGCCTTCCCTGCCACGTGCCGTGCCTCAGCCTCGCTCTTTAGGAAGGAGAGGCAGGTTCCCCCAGACACAGGCCCCGCTGGCCCAGCAGCAGGAAGGAAATGGGGAGACGGTGGCATGTGAAATAGGGACCCCAAGAGTTCCTGTTTCTTTCCCCAACACAAATCCGAATGCGAGTGGAACGGGGAGTTGGGGTCATTGCCGGAAACCCGTTCGTGGATGTTCTGTTTCAGATGTGTTCGCCGCAGTCCTCCGAGAGCCCGGGCACCGCGGAGCGAGCCTCCTTCCCGCCCCCGCAGCTCCGCCTGGAGCCCCGCGTCCCGTTCCGGCAGTTCCAGCTGAATGAGCAGGACGGGTGAGCGGCGAGGGGCCGGGGCGGCTCGGACACGCAGGGGCTGAGTGGCGGTGCTCTGCCTTCTGCAGACACGGTGCCTGGCTGTGCGGGACGGCCGGGTGAGGGGTTGGGTTATGGCTCGATGCCTGGCACAGTGGAAGCTTTGGCACGGCCGAGGCCGCTGCCCTGGCGTTGGCACTGAGCGGGCAGCGGCAGCCCCAGGCAGGCTCCGGGCGGGGCCTCTCTCCCGTGTGTCTCTGTCCAAAGGGGATGGGATGGCTTACACGTTAAGCACACACGGACCTTGGCGGTTCAGGACTTAGCTTAGACGTGTCCGGTTCTGCTTCCATAGTGTAGTGACTAAGTCCAGTGTCTTCCCTTCTCTCCCTCAGGAAAGACAGCCGGCTGGGGACGGCCCGCCCGCCCCGCCCGCTCCGGCAGCTGGTGGAGCGGGCGCCGCGGCCCACCATCATCAACGCCGAGAACCTCAAGGGCTTGGACGACCTGGACACGGACGCCGACGACGGCTGGGCAGGTGGGCTGCTTCTGCGGGCGCCTCCTCGGCGCGCCAGCGGCGGCTGACGCCCGCCCGGGTGAATGCCCTGCGCACGCTTTTCCCGGGCGCGGACTGAGCACGGGGCGGGAGCGGCTCTCACAGCGGGCTTCCCGCCCATCCGTCTGCGTCTAGTCTTTGGTCTCATCTAGATTTTTTATGTTAACTTCTTGTAAAGACTTCTTTATAATGGAAAAGTTAAACCAAGCAAATTGTGAATGCCCCCCCAGCCCTCACCAGCTTCGCTAGGTACCCACCCCCCTTCTGCCTTCTTGTTTCTTCCCTTTGCCTGCTCTCCACCCCAACCTGATTCCCTGCCGTTACAACCCTTTCTGTTTGTTTTCGTGTAAACTTTATTACATGGGAACACACGCATCGTGATGGTACACTGTTAAAGGGATACCCCTGGGAACCGCTCCTCTCCCCCAGCCCCCTCACGCCGCCCTCCTTCCCCCCCCGGCCCAGACCTGCACTCTGTTGGCGTCACCCCCCGGAGCAGTCTGCCCTGTATAACTACAGGCAGGCGGAGTCACAGCTTTTCCTCTGGGTCCTGGTTGTGAGATCCATCAATGTTGTTATATATCCAATTGTTGCTTTTACTTCCTGGGGCATATTTTACTGTATCGATACACTGTAACTTACTGATCCTCTTTAAAGCTCCATAGTTACGATATTCTCATGTCTCCTGAGTGCCCAGGGCGGAGTGGGAGTGTGGGTCAAAGGGTGGGTGTGTGAAGGATGCACAAGGACCACAGACCTCCTCCACTGCCGAGCAGCGACCACGCCTTCCTGTCAGTCTGTGCTTTTGCCATTCTGGTGGGTGTGGAGTGGCATCTCTGTGCTTTTCATTTGCATTTTGTGATGACTAATGTCAGCGAACACATTTCCATGTTCACCTTGTGAGGTGTATCTTTTACACACACACACACACACACACACACACACACTAGAGGACTGATGCACGAAATTCGTGCAAGAGTAGGGCTTCCTTCCCCTGTCTGCTGGCACCGGGACCTGGGCATCCCTTGGAGCCCTGCTTCTTCCAGAAGGATGTCCGATCTAATTAGCATATGACCCTTTAATTATCATAGACTGCCCAGACTTAGGAGCAGTTGTCTGGAAGGAGGGGTAGTCTGACCAGGCTGCCTCCCTGCTACCAGAAGCCAGAGCTCCTTGCATTAGCTGCAGTTTGTTATGGTGGCAGCCGCGTGGCTCGCCTTACTCCTCACTGGGTCACTGGGTTGGCATGGTTCCGGGCTGAAGTGGCACTCTTGGCAGTTGAAATTCTCATCTCTCCTCGTTCTTCCTGGCCCACGTCCTGCTGCAGGCCTCCATGAGGAAGTGGACTATTCGGAGAAGTTGAAGTTCAGTGATGATGAAGAGGAGGAGGACGTGGTGAAGGACGGCAGGCCACAGTGGTAAGGCTGCCCGCTCCTGGGCGTGCTCCAGGCAGCCTTACGCTTAGCAGCACTGCCATGTGCTGGTCCTGTGCCCAGTGCATTTCCTAGTTCCCTGCAGCCTCCTGGGGAGATACTGTTTCATTTTGCAGATGAGAGGGCTAAACTGGGGACAGCATTCCGTTTGAGAATTGAGCCAGGATTTGTATCCGGGCGTGGCAGGCTGGTCCTAGCTTCCCTGAGGGGGTGTGGCAGCTGGTCCTAGTGATAGTAATGCCCCCCCCCCCCCCCCCCCCCCCCCCGCGCTTCCCTGAGTGGGTAGAGACTGTGTTCTGCAGCGTGATGGACGTCATGCCCCAGAAGCCTCTGGCCACACGAGTTTGGGAACCGCCTGGCTTCAACTTTCCCTTTCCTCTAGGGTTGCCTGCACTCGGGGTGTGTACAGAAGCATGCTGGGAATCTCCTGGGAGGTGGGAGAAGCCTACGCAGGGCAGGCTGTCTTCCTAAACTTCTTAGACCCATTTAACCCTTTCTCTCTTTTCCTGGATCATTTTATTGGACAAATTGTACTCACAGTGCCCTTTGGAAAGTACTTCATTGTACTCTAGCCCCTCTTGTTTTATCATAATATCAGCAATATTGGCTAGGACTTTTTTTATATTTAACACTAGAGGCCTGATGCACAAAATTTGTACAGGGGGCTTGGCTCTTGTAGCTGCAGCAGCTTGCCTTGGCCTTTGCAGCCCCAGCTTTATCCAGAAGGGCGTTTGGCTGTCTAATTAGCATATTCTGCTTTTATTATTATAGACATTTTTATTGATTTCAGAGAGGATGGGAGAGGGAGATAAAGGTAGAAACATCAATGATGAGAGAGAATCATGGATCAGCTGCCTCCTGCACGCCCCCTACTGGAAATCGAGCCTACAACCTGTGAATTAAACCGTGACCTGGTTCATAGATTGATATTCAACCACTGAGCCATACTGGCCAGGCTTGGCTAGTACCTTTGTTTTTTATTTATTTTTGCACTTGACATATGTTTAAAAGCCATATGAATAATATGTTTTGTAAAATACAGAAAGTGTTTAATTAAAAATAAGGCAGAAATCCTTTAATCCTAAGTCCAGAAATAGTCATCACATTTTTAAGTTTATTTTGTACTAGAGGCCTGGTGCATGAAATTTGTGCACAAGGCGAGGTGAGGGGGTTGTTCTCAGCCCAGCCTGCACCCTCTCCAATCTGGGATCCTTCTCACAATTCAGGACTGCTGGCTCCCAACTGCTCACCTGCCTACCTTCCTGATTGCCCCTGACCACTTTTGCCTGCCAGCCTGATTGATGTCTAACTGCTCCCCTGCCAGCACGTTTGCCCCCAACTTCCCTTCTCTGCTGGCCTGGTCACCCTAACTACCTTCCCCTGCAGTGTTGAACTGCCTTCCCCTGCTGGCCATCTTGAGATGACCATCTTGTGTCCACATAGGGGCAGCCATATTGTGTGTTGGAGTGATGGTCAATTTGCATATTACTCTCTTATTAGATAGGATAGGGCCTGGTGCATGGGTGGGGGCAGCTGATTTGCCCTGGAGGGTGTCTGGGATCAGGGTGGGGTTTCTCTTGAGGTGTGGGGCAGCCTGAGGGAGGGGCCTATGGTGGTTTGCAGGCCGGCCACGCCCCCCAGCGACCCAAGCAGAGGCCCTGGTATCTGGAATTTATTTACCTTCTACAACTGAAACTTTGTAGCCTGGAGCGGAGCCAAGCCTCCGACAGCCATTTCTATTGGGACTCATGTGTCTTCTGTAATTGGAACTTTGTAGCCTGGAGTGGAGACTTAGGCTGCCAGGGTGTGCCGAAAGCTTTGCTTCCTCCATTGCTGGGGAAACGCCTCCATCCTGCTTTCTGGGGCTGTAGCCATCTTGGTTGGGGTTAATTTGCATCCTCGCTCTGATTGGCTGGTGGGCATGGCATGTGGAGCGGACTGATGGTTAACTTGCATATTACTCTTTTATAAGGATTGTTGACACTATTACACATGTCTCCTATTTCCCCCCACTACCTCCCTTCACCCAGTCCCTGCCCACACCAGGCCTTTACCTATTGGCGAGTACTTGTAAAATAGCGCCTTGGGTTGCTTTCAGTTGCCTTTTTTTGTGTACCAGCACATGGGATTTTTTTCCTTCATGGGGCATTTCCTGTTTTCTTTATACATCACCTATGGGACTTATTATGCTTCCTCAAAAATGGGATTTTTTAATATTGTTTAGATATTAATGCTTTAATGTTCCCTTTGTTTTATTGTCGCTGACTGAATTTGTGTATGGTCCAGCCTGCAAGTCTCTGTTTTCATCTTTCACTTGAAGCTCCTGGAGTCAGCGCCCTCTTCTGGAGGAAGCTGGTAGCACGCTCTGCCTCTCTGATGGCACACAGTTCACTAACTGAGGCTGTTCTTTATTTTCACGCTGCTCGCTCGATGTGCTTGGGGATTGTCTGTGGATCAGTTCTTGGAACATTGAGCTTAGAAGGAAATGTGACCAGGAATTTAAGTCAAAGGCAAAGACATAAAACTTAGCAGGTTGATTGGGGCAACAGGATACTGTTGTTTCTTTCAGTTGATGTTAATTGAGTATTCAACGGAAGGAGTTAGACATGGAGCCAGTTTTGCTACTGGCTGTGACCAAGGACACTTCAGATTGAGGGCACCTTCTTTCTAAACCTGCTTTTTTAAAAAAATATATTTTTATTGACTTCAAGAGGAAGAGAGAGGGAGAAAGAAATAGAAACATCAGTGATGAGAGAGAATCCGTGATCAGCTGCCTCCTGCACGCCCCACTCTGGGGATTGAGCCCGTAACCTGGGCCTGTGCCCGAACAGGGAATTGAACCGTGACCTCCTGATTTATAGGTCGATCCTCAACCTCTGAGCCGCGTTGGCCGGGCAAAACCTGCTCTTTTTTTTAAATTTTTCTATTGTCTGAGCTGGCTGGTGATGCCCAACCCCCAGAGACTCCTACAAGGAGCTCAGAGTCCCTCTGGCATCTTTGTTCCCTCCGTGAGGATTCCTGAGCCTTCCCTGACTCCCTCCCTGCCTGCTCGTTGTGTCGGGGCCACGGGACTGGCCTCCTGTCTTTTCGGGACTGTGCAGAGGTCGGCCAGCACCTGCTCTCATGTGTGCTTACCCTCTCCCTGTGCCCATCGTCTTCTAAAGACACGGCCTTTCCTGTGCATAGAGAACTTGCTGGGTCTCTCCCTGCCCCACCGTGAGGTCAGCAGTCGCCAGCAGTTTCGCTGCCCTGCTGTGATCCCCTAACCTCCCTTACCTGCCTCACCGGCCCCGCTCATGCACATGTGTGCACCGACACATGCGCACACAGAGAGTAGCCAGACCTGAGCCTGCTGTTCTCTGGGCTCCTGCTAAGTGACCGGGCACCGTTTCCCATACAGGAGGCCCAGGTGTGTCCTCCCACTTTGCCCCGTGCCTGTAGCTCTGCCCTGAGCATGACGGTGAGCACGCACAGCTCCCTTCCCCCCTTCTCTTCCTGCTGCCCGCAGCCTGTGGGGCTCGCGTGGCCTGTCCGCACTACGGGCCTTCCTTTCCCCTCTTGCTCTTCTCGGGGGCCCTGCAGCGGCCTCCTGTGCTGAGGAGCAGTCTGAGCCCCTTCAGTGCAAAGCGCAGGGCAGGGGCTGTGGTAAAGACCACCTTCTGGGTTCGGCTTCAAATCCGTTAGCTCCTCCCTGGGCGGGCAGCTGCCCAACCTCTGAGAATCTTTGTAAACTCCTTTAAAGGGGGAGAGTGAGCCCCTCCCCCATAAGATAAAGTGGTGGGTGGGGAACAGCCTAGCTGGAGAGCTGAGCTGTGAGAGAGTAAATTGGTAAATGTTGGTGCTGATTTTGGTGATCTGGGATGTCTTGTCACCGTGCGGGTGGGGAGTGGGGGTGCTCCGATGGAGGAAATGGGTGTATAGACGGCTGGCTAAGGACCTCGGGCTGGTAAGGCCAGACCGTGCTGGCTGATGGGAAGCTAACAGCGTGCGGTTGTCCTAGGAACAGCTGGGACCCGAGGAGGCCGCGGGGGCTGTCAATGAGCTCTGCAGACAGCGCTGATGCCAAGCGTGCCCACGAGGAAGGAAAGGACTGGGGCGAAACAGCGGGCATGGCTCGTATCGTCCGGAAGGTGCCAGAACCTCAGCCACCTTCCAGGAAGCTTCACAGCTGGGCCTCAGGCCCTGACTACCAGGTACCATGGGCACCGGAGGGATCTGTGCCTGTGATTGCTGGGGACACCCTCCCCTCCAACTCTCCCTCTCTCCACATTGGTTTGACGTGAGGTCCCAGACCAGAGTTACCTGTCGGCTGCCCTCTGCATTTGACCTTTGCTGAGCTGAGTGTTGGGTTTCTGAGAGTCCTAGGAGGATACTGCTCTTTCTTTCTTAATTAAAGAAATGTCTTCTGAAACAGGGAGGGACTTACAGAAAAGTTGGAAGTGCATAGAAAGAAAACTTTTTCTGAGCCAGGGAGGGAAGGTGCCGGCCTGTCGAGCATGTCGGCACAGGCGCTGTGGTGTGAGCGGGTACTGACAGTGCACCAAGTCTTCCTTTGTCCAGATACAGTGAGGGGCAGAGCAGGATTAGAACCGGGGTCCGCCTAGCGTGGGACGCGGCTCCCAGGTGCTGGAGGGCCGTGGAGAGAGGACGGCTGCAGTGAGGGTGCCCGTCGCTCGGTTCCATCGGACCCTCTCCCCCCGGCAGAAGTCCCCCGTGGGCAGCGTGTTCCGGCAGCAGTCCGTGGAGGACAAGGAGGACAAGCCGCCGCCACGGCAGAAGCTCATCCAGTCGGAGATGTCCGAGGCCGTGGAGCGCGCCCGGAAGCGCAGGGAGGAGGAGGAGCGCCGCCGCCGGGAGGAGCGGCTGGCCGCCTGCGCCGCCAAGCTCAAGCAGCTGGACCAGAAGTGCAAGCAGGCCCAGAAGGCCGGCGAGGCGCCCCGGCCGGCGGAGAAGGAGGCGCCCCGGTCCCCAGCTCCCGAGAAGGCGCCGCCGCAGGAGAACGGCCCCGCCGTCCGCAAAGGTGAGCGGGCGTTCGTCCCCCAATCGGCTTTGCGTCTCCCTGGCTCCTGGCACCTCCCGGGGCTACGGCCAGAGGGGCCGGGAAGCCCCGGCAGGAAGAGCGCCCGCCCGGTCACAGGCCTGGGTTCACCGTTTCCATGCCAACACTGGCCCGCACCTCACCTGCGGGAGCTGGTCCCGCATCTGTGCAGTGGGATGGGGCCGGGGTGTCCCCCCCTCGTGCGGAGGGGCCACCGAGGTGATGCGTGCGGAGCATTGGCACAGAAAGCACGCGTTCACCTGCTGGTAACGGTGCCCGTTGTGTCGTCACGGTCACGGGCATCACTGCCCTGCTCAGCCCACGCTGGGAGCCGAGGATCTTCCTAAGGCACAGGGTCCTCCTGGACTGAAGGAAGCCCTGTGTGCACACGCGGCTCTCAGAGTTAACGCTGAAGGCCTGGTGCACGGCTGTCAGAGATGTCGGACGGCGCTGTCAGAGCGGCTTTAAAGAATCAGACCAGCATGTTCTTTGTGATTTTTAAAAATCAACGAAAACCAGCTCTTTTCCGGAGACAAGGGCCTGGTGAGTTTCAGTCCCTGAGAGCCTCTCGGATGGGGTCTTCCTGCCGCTCTGACAGCGCCCAGCGCCTCCCTGGCCCGGGAACTCGGGGAACTGACAGCCGCCCTGCCCTGTCCGTCTCCCCGAAGTCCTGTGAAGCCTGGCCGCAGGTGGCTGCCCGGGGCCGAGGGCGGGAGGAGGTGGCTGGGGGTGAGCGTGGTGCGATGATCCGGGTCCCGGCCGGGGCTGCGGGGCTGCGCTGCCCGCCTCCGCCGTTCCTCCGGGCCTGAGCCTCTGCGGTCGAATGAGGGAAGCAAGTGTCACTCCCACCGGAGGAAAGCTGGGAAACGTGCAGCGCTGGGGCGGGCTAGAAAGAAGGGGATTTCGGAGAGAAGGATGGGGACAGTTGGGGAGCGCCTCCTGCTGTCAGGTGGTATAAGCACATGACCGGGATTATCTCTGGTGGCCACCGGCCCGGCGGGAGGCAGCTGCCGTCCTCATCCTGCAGAGGAAGGACCGGCTGCCCACCAGGCCCCAGCCGTGGATGGCGTGAGGCAGCGGGTGGGACGGTGGGTGCGGCTGCCACGGAGCGCGTGGCTGTGTGACTTCCAGGGTCCTGTTTGATGAGCCCTCTCTCCACTGCTGACACTGTGGCCTCGGGCAGTCACCTGCCTGACCTGGGGCCCTGGGTCTCCCCTAAGTGGGATGTGTGGGACCACAGTCCGAGGCTGTGACTCCTCCGCTCTAACTTCCCGTTCCAGTTCCTGTTACACCGCAGCCTGCTTTCTGGTGTTTGTCTCCAGGCTCCCCCGAGTTCCCTGCCCAGGAAGCCCCCAGCGCGTTGCCAGAAGAGGCCTCCCCAGCGCCTGCGGCTGTGGCTCAGAGCGGCGGCAGTGAGGAGGGGCCCGGGGAGGCGGGGTCCCCCGCGCAGGAGTTCGGCAAGTACCAGAAGTCCCTTCCTCCCCGGTTCCAGCGCCAGCAGCAGCAGCAGCAGCAGGTACGCAGGAGACGTTGAGAAGCCCTTGTAAACAGGCCTGCCTGTGGGGTGAAGGCCTCTCCCCCTCCTAGGCCCTTGCATTAGAGCAACAGCAGAAACCCCCTCCTGCCCGGTCCCGTCAGGGCGGACGGAGGGCTGCACTCAGAGTTCCGGGCCTCAGGAGATCATCTCTGACCACCCCCCACGCGGGTGATTCCCTGGCCTTGTCTCACATGAGCGGGAGGAGCTGGCGGTGGTGCCTTGGACGTGGGGTGAGCGAGCTGGGAGAGTGGCTTGTCGTGCAGAGCAGTGACTGTGGCCGCTCCGGACACTGACAGTGGCCCCACCGTGGGCGTCTCGGGAGCGAGGGCGGCCTGGGAGCTGCGGGGCTGCCAGCGGGAGCGGGTGCGCTTGGGGAAGGATGCAGGTTTGTCGGTGTTTAACCAGAGAGCGGGAGTCCGGTCCTGGTGGTGCGCTCTCCTTGTTGTGTGTGGCCCGGACGGGTCATTGTCCACCAGGAAGCGGGGAGCTTGCCCGCCTGGCAGTGAGGGTGTCTGGCTCCTGTAGGCTGACCTCTGGTTCCATAAACCTTAAGAGGACTTGCCTTTGCCCAGGACAAGCTCACGTGGGGACGTGCTGACCATCTCAGGCTCTCAAGCCGGGCCCCTGGCCTTCGGAGCCACTGTGTGCGGTGTGTGTCTTACAGGAGCAATAAGTGAGCAGGTCATTACTGACGAGCAGTGCGTTTTGGTGGGAAGCAGGCGATTCTTGGACAGTCCTTAATCCAGGCATGCAGTAAAATGTTGCTATTGTTAACCCAAATGTTTCATAACGTGTGTGCCCCGGGCAAACACCAGGCCTTGAGCCTCTTCCTGGAATCGCTTTTAGTTGTCTTGAAAGCCTTGCCCTGGCCTGTGCTGCTCAGTGGGTTGGAGCATTGTCCTGTGCACTGAAAGGGCACATACCCAGGGTTCGGGTTTGACTCCCGGTCGGGGTGTACAGGAGCAACCAATGATGTTTCTCTCTCACATTGATTTTTTTAAATTTAAATTCTTTATTGTTGAAAGTATTACATATGCCCCCCTCCTCCATTGGCCTCTCCCTGCTCGCTCCTGGCCCCCAGCACAGGCTCTCACCCCACCTCTGTCCGTTGGCTGAGCTCACATGTGTGCATCCAAGTCCTTTGGCTGATCTCTTCCCCCTCCCTGCCTGCCTGCCTCCCTCTGAGGTTTGACCGGCTATTTGATGCTTCTATGTCTCTGGATCTATTTTTGTTCACCATTCGTGTTGTTCATTCTAGTCCACAAATGGATCTCACATTAATGTTTAATCTCCTTCTCTCTGCCTCTCTCTAAAATCAATTTAAAAAACAAAACAAAACAAACCTCCCCCCGTTTGTGCTCTGAATAGGAGCCAACGCCCTGGTGGTCTCAGTGTGGCCGCCTCACGGCTGGCGCAGTTCCCGGTGGGCGATGGGAGCAGCTGCAGCCGGACGCGGCAGGCGCTCTAGGCCGTCGGGGGCAGTGACGGGCAGGCCTTCCCAGGCACAGGGAGGAGTCTGCAAGCGCCAGGGCAGTCTGGTGGCGTCTTGCACAGGCCAGCCAGGCTCCCTGGGGACCTGGGTCCAGACAGGAGTGGCTGGGCTGCAGCCTGCCGTGGGGCCCGGAGGCTCTGGTTATGGAAACTGTGCTCCTCAGAAAGCGCCCTGAGCGCCCAGGGGGCCAGCCCAGGCCGCCAGCTGGTGGGTGGCCCTGTTGTTGGCACCGGGAAGGGGCGGCGCAGCAGGCTCTGCTGGGCGGGCTCTGCACCGAGTCCTGCCGCTGCGGATGCTCTGGAGGCAGCCCGAGGTCACCGGCGTGGAGCAGGCTCTGCAGTGAGCCCTCTCCGGCTCTCACATTGAACATGCCGCTGGCACTCTGTGCTCCGCCGCTCGTGCCGAGCTTTCTAGATGCCAGTCGTGGTGGGGTAGGGACCCGTGGGCTCCGACTCGGGACGCAGTGAGCAGCGGCAGTGGGAAATCGCGGCTGGTGTTGGTGCTGCAAAGGGAGATGTGAGAGCCGAGGACGGGACTGCTCGCTCCCTCAGGCTCGCAGAGGAATGAGCTTTTAAACGGAACCTGAAGAGAGTGAGGGAGCGGGTTTGGGGATGCGGACAGGAGCTTCCCGGAATCTCCCAGGTGTTACAAGGCCTCGCGTGCAGGCAGGAGCAGGCGCAGGGTGTGAGGCGCAGGGGGAGTTGGGCAGGGTCCAGAGGAGCCGGTGGCTGACTGTCACCCTGCGGAGACCATCGAGGCTCTTGGGAAGCGAGGGGCTGCCGTGAGCAGGGGTGTGAGGGCCCTCCGGGGAGTGGAGAGTGGGTTGAAGAGGCCAGAGGTGAGGAAGGAGAGTGGGACCATGCTCAGCGGATGGTGGGCGAGGAGAGTCCTGGGAGGGGTGTGCTGGCCATCGCCGGCTCCAGGAGACCCAGGAGGGGAGCACAGGCTCCCGCTGTGCTGATGGGTTGGGGAGCCATAACACACGGCATCTCCCCGTCGAGCAGCCGCCCATCCCTCCCTCGGTCTTCTGTCCCGGCGTGCCCTCTGTGCCTGCCGGAAGATGAGCGTGTGCGGGCTGCGTCTGCCGCGGCACCCGTCTGACCCTCTCTCCCTCCAGGAGCAGCTGTACAAGATGCAGCACTGGCCGCAGGTGTACCCTCCGCCCTCGCACCCGCAGCGCACCTTCTACGCACATCACCCGCAGATGCTGGGCTTCGACCCCCGCTGGATGATGATGCCCTCCTACATGGACCCGAGGATCACGCCCACGCGCACCCCCGTGGATTTCTACCCCCCGGCCCTGCACCCCTCCGGTAAGCTCCGAGGGCGGGGGGGCCCTCGGACGGGGGTGTGAAGGATGCTGGCTAGGAGTTAGGTCCTCGGGATTCCACTGCAGCCTCCTCTGCAAGTCACGTGACAGCCTGGATTTAACATTCTTGTTGGCAGAATGAGGCGTGATAACGTATCTGTCACAAAGCATGCTGGGAGGAGTCCTAATGTCATGTGTCCAATGGCTTTCACTTCTGTGTCTCTTCTCTGTTGTTCTGGCCCTTTCTGTCATTAATGTTCTCCGTGCCTCTTTTTCCCTTGATTAGTCTTCGCCAGGGTTTGTTTAGAGTCATTTTTGTAAAACAGCTTTTGGATTTCTTAATTTCTCAATTTTATTTTATTTTTACTTCATTAATTTCTCCTCCCCCTATTATTTCCTTTGAAATTATCCTGTTCTGTCTCTAATTGTGTTGGATGCTTAGCTCATTTGCTTCCGGCTTTTCTGATACAAGTATTCAAGTATCACCTGAGCTGTAAACGCCTATGAATTTCACGAGACAGCACTTTTGCTCTCACACAGTTCTAAAAGTTAGTCTGGTTTTGATTATGATTTTTTAATGGTGTGGTGCGAATTTTCCAAATATATAGAGTTTAGAGATTGTCCTCCTGGTGTGCCTTTGCAGTGTCTGCTTTGTGGTGAGTGTGGGCTGCCTGGTAGAGACCGGGCCCCCAGCGGTCTCAGCGAGACACAGCTGCAGACGGCGGTGGGCGGCCCTCGCTCTCCGTGCCGCTCTTTTTAAAACGGGCGGCAGGTCGGGTTTCACTCGAGGGCGGAGGTGCCAACCCGGCCCGATCTAGATTGTGGGTGTTTGTTGAGATCTGCTTTGTAGCTGTAACATTGCTGGTTTCTGCAAACATCCTCTGTTTGCTTGAGACGGACAGACGTTCTCTGGGTGGCTGTGTGCTGAGCTTGCTGGTTGTGCTGTGGGAACATCTGGGTCATCGCAGTGGCCACTCAGAGGTGCGCCGGTCCTGCTGTGACCGGACCTGCCCAGTCCTGCGAGCGGGCGGGTCTGCGTCCTCTCTCCGGAGGCGCCCCGTTACCACTGATGGCGCTTCCGACCTTCAGTGTCCACTTCGCCTGACGGTAGTAGCCTTCTAGTTTTCTTTCTCCTTAAAAAGATACACTTTTACTGTTTCACAGAAGAAGGGAGAGAGACATAGAATCATCAATGATGAGACGCACCAATCGGCTGCCTCCTGCAACTTGGCCCGGAGTCACATTATGACCTCCCGGTTCATAGGTCAACTTCAGCCACTGGCCCACACTGCCGGCCAGTTTTCTTTTGGTGAGGGATCACTCGGTGTCCTCTTTCCAGTCTTTGCGGCCAGCCTCTCCCAGCCCCTTTTGGGGAGCGCATCTTTGTACAGGGCGTGCTTTCGCCCACTCCAAAAGTCTGTTCCTTTGTTGCCAAAGCCGGTCCTTTGGAATTAGTGGGATTATTATGTTTGAATTTTCTTCTCTCCTATTGCCTACTTTCTGGTTGTCCCTCTTTTCTTTTACTTCTTTTTTTTGGATCAAGTTTTCCTATCTTTTTGTTTGCCTTCTACATTCTGTTTCTACTATCTTAGTAGTTATGTTAAATTATAACATGTGTCCTGACTTAGTTGCTATAACATGGTTAATCAATATCTTCACCCCAACCTGAACTCAGTACCTCATTGTCACTTACCTGTTACTTCTGCCTGGAACTTCAGTGTTTCCTGTGGTTATGCCCACCAGGTGGTTTTGGTGGTTGTACCCAGTCTATGCGTGTTCAGATCTGCCTGTGTGTTTACAAGTTTCCTGCATCTTTTTCCTTGCCTCTGGGTTTGGTTCACTTCATGAAGTGTGTCCTGCCAAGCACTGCAGAAAAGGCTTTTGGTGGATTTTCTGTGCCTGGAAGTCTTCCTGCCACGCTCTCTTGAGTGGTAGGACAGCTGGGTATAGCGTTCTAGATTGGCGGTTACTGTCCGTCTGTGAAGAGGGCGTGGCCTGTGCACTTCTTCCAGCTCCTGCTGCTGCGGGAAGTGCGGTGTTCTCTGCCTCTGCGCCTGCGCCCTTAGTTCTGCTGAAGACTCCTGGGCTTGAGGGAAAGGATGGATGTCTTGCATCACTTCTGGAACATTCTCTTCTAGTTATAATTCAGATACTGACTTTCCTCATTCTTCATAGTCTTTCTTCCTAGGACTTGCTCTGGGAGTTTTTGTACTTTCTCATTCTGCCTTGCAAGTCTCTTAAATATGAAAGGGAGGTTGTCTCAGGTGGCTTCTGGGGAAATGCCTCAGCACTTACTCCAGTTAGTCTTCTCTGCAGCTGTGTCTTCTCTGCCCTTTTTTTTTTTTTTTTTTGTGCGGTGAGTTTTTAATTTCAGTGATTATCACTAGAATTTTTTTCTCAAATCTGTTATTCTTTGTCATATTTTAAATTCCTTTTATGCTTTTTAGTTACTCGAAACATAGTTTTTTAGTGTTTAACAGATTATTCTGTTATCTGAAGTTCGTGAGGAGGTGTAGAACCTGTGGGTTGCTTACCACGCATGTTCTGGTGATTGGAGATTGCACGTCCATTTGTGACAGAGCCTACTTATTGGGGGGACCCAGTATGGCTTGGGCTGAGAGTCCATCCCTCTTGGGTGGTCCCCTACCCAGGCCAATGCCAAGACACAAACTTAGTTGTTTCCCTGACAAAAGCATGTGTGTTTTTATCTGCCTGCCACACCTTGCTGACAGGTCACAAGTGTATCGTGTTTCCCCTTACACGAAGTAAGTGATGTTAGGTGTGAAAGCGATGGGGAGCGCTCACAGCACGATAAACTGTTTGCTTAGGCTCAGGTACAAGCCACCTCCCTGCTCGGCTCTGCTTTCGGCCGTCGTCCTCTTTCCTCTTCGGGTCTCTGTCTCAACTTGTCAATCGGTAGTTAAAGAGATGAGGTGAGAATACATCTAAGTCTGTCCGTCCATCTCTTACGATGACAAAAGTCTTAAAAAGATGCATCGCTGCAGAGAAGAATGTTAGTGTAAATTACGTGCAGACGCTTTCTCTGATTGGCCAGGAGGCTCCAGAATCAGTTGGAAGATAGTCCTTGGTCAGAAGACAGTGATGGGTCTGACTGACATCAGGCTGTCTCAAAGGCAAAAGAGCAATGTGATGGTATCTGCCAGTGAGAGTGACTCAGAACAAGAATGGGCAGAAGAAAGTATTTTGCCAGCCTTGGAGGGTTATATACATATTTCCGGCATAATGGAAGACCCCACAGAGTATAAGTGAAGTAACCAATTTATTTTTTTAAAATATATTTTTATTGATTTTTAGAGAGGAAAGGAAAGACAGAAACATCAATGACGAGAGAGAATCATTGATTGGTTGCCTCCTGCATACCCCCTACTGGGGATCAAGCCAGCAACCCAGGCATGTGCCCTCACTGGGAATCGAATCGTGACCTCTAGGTTCATAGGTCGACACTCAACCACTGAGCCACGCTGGCCAGCCACCAATTTCTTTTTTATAAGGATTTTTTTCTATCTCATTACTTCTCAAACCAATCCATACCTTTTCCAAATGCAAAAATACCACAGAACCCCTGCTAAAGTTTCGCCACGGACGAATGTTACTTATATGGCTCTAAAGAAGGTCCTTGGTTTATTATATTGATGGAACTAATGAAGAAGCTAGAATGCAGAGATTACTGGTCAACTGATCCTTTACTGGAATCACCCACATTTCTAAAAACTGACTAAATGCGGTTCAACAACTATTTTTTTTTTTTTTTGCAACTTCATGGTGGATACAGGTGAAAGCAAAGAGTTACAACATACTATTTACCTGTCTTCCAGCCTTTTCATGGTTCTTGGCACCATATTTACAAGGTGATGGCTACAGCAGTGCTCACAGCCGTGGTGCTGGGACTGAGGAAAGCGGCCGGTCTCAGGGGTGGAGGCCACGGCTCGTGGCGGCCTCGGTTTACCAGCATCGAGAGCCCCTTCCTGCTCATGAGAGTGTGGAGGGCCATGCCGGTGGGTTCGGCCTCGGGGGAGTCCCCGCTCAGCCCCGGCACCGCCGCTGTCCCGGCCCAGGCTCTGTTGGCACGGTGTCGGACGGATCGTCCGCCATGTCCATGGTGGAGGGCTTGTCGGAATAAGGCTCTGCATGTGCCACCACAGGCTACATGCAGTGCTGAGCGGGCATCCTGCTCTGTCACCACGTGGTACATGCTGTGAAGCCGGGGTTCCAGAGCCCCTGCGCCCTGACGTGGTCTGACTGAGGGGCCTTAGCCCGAGGAAGCTGGAAGCCTGGCCTGAGGAGAACCATGGTCCCGGGGGCTCAGCTCAGAGGACAGGCACAGCCACGTGTGGCTGCTGATGGACTGAAGAAATATTTGGAAAAATCAGATGTTTTTCTCCACAGACTGAGGCCGACGAGACCTTGTAGATCAGACGTACGAGCAGGTCTCCCGTGTGGGAGAGCTGGGGACAGAGGCCTGGAGGGCGCAGGGTCCCCAGCGCGTTGGTATCTGGCAGGGCCTACACTGCCCAGGCCCCTAACGGTGCCCTGTCACTGATGCAGCGTGCCCGTGAGAGTGTGGCTGCCCCCTGTAGGTGTGTGGCTGCCCCCCTGTAGGTGTGTGGAATTGCAGTAGCAGGAATGACCCTGTCCCGGCTCCTGCCAGGCTCTGCAGAGGTAGTGCCAGCCATCCATGTCTGTGGCAGCTCTCGGGGGGCCGCTCACCATCCCTGTGTGCACGGCGATTCGCGTTGCCGACCCGCCCTCGCTGGCCTCCTGCCGACATTGGTTTCGGCATATCCGGTTTCCATTGCCAGCTTTATACGCCCTCGTGCAGGGGGTCTTGGTCTGGAAACTGAGGCTGGACTTCCAGGTCTCCGCCCCTCCGAGGGCGGGCTGTGGCTTCAGAGCAGGTGACGACGATCCAGAGCGGGGCCTTGGAGTGCGGTCCATGTGGCGGTCAGGTCCCGGCTGTCTTCTCTGGGCCTTTGGTTGACCTTGAGGTTGGAGCCGTTTCCGAGCGGATGACCTAGTTCCGTCCTTTCCTCCTCAGGACTGATGAAGCCCATGGTGCCCCCAGACTCCGTCAGCGGGGCGAGCTGTCGCTCTGAAGAGCAGAGCCGGGGCCCCCAACTGCAGGAGAGAAAAGTGACGGCCCTCGACCCAGCCCCGGTGTGGAGCCCCGAGGGCTACATGGCCCTGCAGAGCAAGAGCTACTCGCTGCCGCCCCCAAAGGCCAGCGACGCTTTGGCCATGGACATGCACGTCAGGTGAGACAGCGTGGTCCTGCCGCCTGCACCCGGAGGCCTCTCCCAGGAGACACAGCCAGGGGAGGGCGCGGGAAGGGCCGGCCAGGCCTTCTGGGAAGGGGCGGGAGGGTGGCATGGATGCTGGTGTGAGTCGCTGACGGTGGGATGGAAGGCCCAGGAGCAATCGGTTCGAGGCGAATCTCTGAACAGGGCGGGGGGTAGGGCGCTGGGCTCGGCAGGCAGGGGGGGCAGTGGGGACTCCTCCTGGGAAAGCAAAGCATGCTGGCCCCTCGGCCAGTGCCAACCTCTGCATGGACCCCAGGCGCCGGCTGACTGAAGCAGAGGATCCCCGCCTCTCCCCCTCCAGGGGGACACGCCGCGTCCACCCTCAGCCACCGCCTTCTTCACTCTGGACTCCAGGGCGCCCACTCTGGACCGCGGCCCCGCCGCTCTGAGGCCTGTTTAAAGATAGAGGAAATGTTGGTGCTTGTGTTTTTTTTTTTGTTTTTTTTTTCTTTTTTCGTTTTTGGTGTTTTTTTTCCATTTTTTCTTTTGAAAACTAAGCTCTGTGTTCAGCATGGAAAGCAGGAACCAGGCTCCAACCACATTGACTGGTGTTTCTGGTTCCTTTTCAGGAATGAGAGCGCTTACTCTGCCTCACACGGAAGGCCAGGGGGCGTAGGCGCCCCGCGCGCCCTCCTGGAGGAGAGAGTGGAGGAGCCCTTGGGTGCTTTCGACACGAAGGCCCAGGCAGACTTTGACAGCTGTGTCTCTGCCCACAGAAGAGGCCAGGAGCTTTTGTTCCCACCCCCAGACAGTGTGCAGGATGCAGGGGCTCCTCGGGGTCACACCCCAAACCCCAGGTGCTCCCCACTGGAGCCCGACTTTGCCCCAGCTGAGAAAAAGCCAGATTATAGCAGCTGGGACGGTAGCCACCAGCCCACGGCCACAGACTCAGCCGGCGGCACGGACAAGGAGGCGCCCCGGGAGGAGCCGCCCTTCGGTGCCTCCTGGGAGAAGGAGGGGAGCCCCCACAAGCAGCCGTCCCTGGAGCCCGAGTGGACCCCCGAGCCCCGGGGCCCCGGCAGCCAGCAGCAGGAGCCGACCAGCAGGACCCGGAGGTCGGGGCCCATCAAGAAGCCAGTGCTGAAGGCGCTCAAGGTGGAGGACAAGGAGAAGGAGCTGGAGAAGAGCAAGCCGGAGCCGGGGGAGGAGAGCGCCCGCCCGGCCCCCGAGGAGGCGCCACGGCCCCCGGCCGAGCACGAGGACCAGGAGAACGACCCCACGCTGGCCAACGCCTCCCCCTCCGCCCCGGAGGCCCCGGGCGCCGGCCGCTCTGCCAGCAAGTCTGAAGAGGACGAGAAGCCCGACAGGGGCTGGGAGGCCAGGCCTGCCCGGGAGCCCAGCGACACGCCGCTGACCAAGAGGAGCAACTGGATCTTCATCGACGAGGAGCAAGCCTTCGGGGGCCGAGGGCAGGCCCGGAGCCGCGGCCGCGGGTTCCGAGAGTTCACCTTCCGTGGCCGGCCCGCTGGCGGCGGCCCCAGCATCTGCGGCGGCGGGGGGGTCCTGGGGGCGCGGGGCGTGTACACCAACAGCCAGAGGAGCGGCCGCGGCCGGGGCCTGCACGAGTTCGGGCCGCCTGACGACTTCCCCCGCGCCAAGCCCCGGCGCCGCATCGCCAGCGAGACGCACAGCGAGGGCTCCGAGTACGAGGAGCTGCCCAAGCGGCGGCGGCAGAGGGGCGCCGACAGCGGCCACGACGGCTCGCTGCCGGACAGGGAGGAGGCCGCCTCCAGGAAAGGCGACTTCAGAGACTCCTGGCGGTCCCACAGGATGTACCCCGACGACCACGGCGGCCTGGAGGCGAAGAGCAGGGGCCCGCGGGCCTTCGGACGCGCCCTCCCTCCCCGGCTGAGCCACTGCGGCTACGGGCGGAGGACCTTCGTGGCCAGAGAGGCTGCCCACTGGCAGAGCCGCAGTGCCGGCGCCTGCTGGCAGGACCACGGCCCCCCCGACGCCGGCCCCCGGCGGCCCCCCGACAGGGACTGCGTCCCCGAGGCCTCCCGGCACTCGGACAGGGGCTGCGAGGACGGCCGCCTGGAGGACAAGAGAGCCTGCTTCCCGGACGACCCCGGGGCCGATGCCGACGGCGCCGAGAACCGGCCCTTCCGACGGAGGCGCCCCCCGCGCCAGGACAAGCCCCCGCGCTTCCGGCGCCTCCGGCAGGAGCGCGGGCCCGCGGGTCTGTGGGGGCCCGAGGAGGAGCCCCACCTGCTGGCCGGTCAGTGGCCAGCCAGGCCCAAGCTCTGTGCCGGGGACAGGAGCGGCGCCACGGGCCGCAGGTCCCCCGAGCTCGCCTACCAGAACTCGGACCACGCCACCGAGGAGTGGGAGACGGCCTCCGAGAGCAGCGACTTCAGCGAGCGGCGGGAGCGGCGGGGCGGCTCCGGGCCCGAGCCCGGCTCCCTCCTGGACGGCGGGCTGCCCGGCGCCGGCCCCGGGGAGAAGAAGGAGCTGGCCAAGCGGAGCTTCTCCAGCCAGAGGCCCCTGGTGGACAGGCAGAGCCGGAAGCTGGAGCTGGGGGGGTTGGGGGAGAAGGCCGTTAGGCCAGGCGGTGGCGACGCCTCTCCCCATTATGAGAGCCAGCAGAGTGGGACGCCTTTGAAAGCCAAAAGGTAAAACAGCACAGCCCGGTCCTGTTGTTGCTTGTTCTGTGGTTGAGCCGGTGTCTGGAGCCGCACTCCATGCATGCCTGTCCCGCCGTGTCGGGCCCGCCCCGCGCCCGAGGGACTCCGCAGCCCCCGTGCGAGCGAACCCTCACTCGCCCTGCACCGCTTGTCTGCTTCCTGTGGCGTCTTGTTGTCGTGGCTTCAAAACCAAAAGCAAACCAGAGGCCCCGCCCCAGCGGCCCTCTTACGTGGCACCTGGCCCAGGAGCCCAGCCTCCTTACGTGCCCTTGGGCTTCCCCTGAGGGGCCACTGCAACGAGGTGCCTGCCCGAGGTGGCTCCTCCCGAACGGCTCTGCTTCCAGCAGCCAGGAGGTCTGGCGCCTGCGGGCACTGCCCTGTGCGTGGTGAGACAGGCAGGAGCGGGCACTGCCCTGTGCGTGGTGAGACAGGCAGGAGCGGGCACTGCCCTGTGCGTGGTGAGACAGGCAGGAGCGGGCACTGCCCTGTGCGTGGTGAGACAGGCAGGAGCGGGCACTGCGCTGTGCGTGGTGAGACAGGCAGGAGCGGGCACTGCCCTATGCGTGGTGAGACAGGCAGCCCGGGCCTGTGAGTGGCTGGCCCGGGATCGGAGGCTGTGATGTGGGCGGCCCAGCTCAGTGCCCGCGGGCTGCCTGGACTCAGGAGAGGGACCTCACGTGCAGAGATACTCCCACCTGCCCCTGTTCAGATTTGGGGCAGAGCCTGGATGACTTCCCCAGAGGAGGAGCCACAGGGCGTGCGGGTTCTTGGGTGTCCGTTGGTCTAGCTTCCCAGGACTCGGATGCCAAGGCCGGGCTTTGCCTCTGCCTCTGCCCTGAGAGCCTGGTGGCCGAGGCCTGGGCGGCCACGGGTCGGTGTTGTGATGGGAGGATGTCCTGTGTGGAGTCCCGCCACCTTGGCTCACAGTGGCAGACGGAGCACTGAGCCCTGGGCAGGGCCGGCGCGGCTGGAGGGGCCTCCCCCGTGGCCCGCCCAGGACGCAGTGCTGCTGCCATTGGCTTCCCGGGAACAGCTGTAGGGCCCGTGGGGCAGGTCAGGGACGGTGCATGCTGTGTGCTTCCTTCCCCACCTGCTGTTGTTTCTGAGCTAATGAGGTCCCCCTTCCCTTCCAGGACCCCGGACGAGGCCTTGCCCGGAGGTCACAGCGGCCACTACCCCCTGGAGCGGGCTGTCCATGCCACCTCAGACACCGAAGCCGCCTGTGAGAAGGCAGAGGAGGCCTCCCTGGCTGCTCCGAGGGTGGGCGAGCAGGGAGAGGCCATGCAGCAGTTTGACCTGAACTACGGAAGTGAGTCTGTGTCCTTGCGTCTTTGGGGAGGGAGGAGCCGAGCCGGGTGAAGTGGGGCCTCGCCCTGCAGCTGCCAGGTCTGCCCTCTGGCTGTGTCTGAACTTCTGGGGCGGCCCCAGCCTTGTTCTGGGGTACACAGATGAGCAGAACAGATGCGGCCCCTGGCACTGTGTTTCTCACAGCTTGCCAATCCCCTTCACTGCCCTAGAGTGCCCCCACTGTTAAGGAAACTAAAGATGGGAACCCGAGGCCAGTGAGGTTGAGGGGGCTTGTCCAGGGTCACGTGGCTAATTAGGAGCAGAGCTGGGACTTGAGCGTTTCTATTTCCAGAGGCTTTTCTGGGCGGTAGTGTCACTTAGGTCTCTGGTTTGCGTTAACGGTGTGTTAGAGCGCACGTGAGGGTGTGGGATCCCAGCTGGTTCTGTAGGCATGGTGAACTCGGCGCGGCTCCTGGGAGGTGCTCAGCTAGGCACTGCCCAGCCTGGGGAACTGAGCCGTGCCAAGATGCCGGGTGCCTGTAGGGCTGGGTTCTCCGTGGCTTCCGGTGAGTGGGACACCATCCCTTTGGCGAACTCTTGGTTCAGATTCCATCCTCGAGAATTGTGGGTCCAGCCCCGGGGAGGACACGGAGGTGGGCCCCATGGTGGGTGAAGGCTTCATCGAAATCCTGACCAAGAAGCAGCGCCGCCTGCTGGAAGAGGAGAGGAGGAGGAAGGAGCAGGCTGTGCAGGTGAGGCGCTCGGGGAGAGGAGGGGCAGGGTTGGGGGCAGCCGGTCCGGGGAACCATAGCCAGGAGCCTCCGAGTTCTGGGTGCAGCAGGGAGGAGGCGGAGGGTAGGACTGTCCCTCAGACACCTTCTCCAGCACCACAGGGGATGACCCCGTCCCTGTTCTCAAAGAGGGACTGGCCGCTGTCAGCAGGGGAGCCCAGCTTAGCACGTGCAGACGGCCTCAGTCCATGTCTGTCCTCTTCCCCGGCTCCTGTGCGACCCTGTGCTCGCCTGGCACCCTCGGGGCACTGCACAATGCCCTGTGGTCGGCTTCCTCACAGGCCATTGGCTGTGAGCCCTCGCCAGGTGTGGCATTAACACGCGTGGTTGAGGTCTTGAGAGAGAGAGAGTGAGTTCCAACATCGCTGGGGCACGTTCTCTTGGTTCTGATGGCCCAGAGGCATTGCTGGCGAATATGTCACATGCCTGACCTCTAGGATGGCCTCTCCATCTTTCTTTCCTTAGGTACCTGTCAAAGGTCGGAGCCTTGCCTCTCGCATTCCGCCTCGGTTTGCGAAAAAGCAGAACAACCTGGGCCTGGAGCAAGGCGATGTGCCCGTGCCAGGCGGCAGCCTGGGCACCGAGATCTGGGAGAGCAGTGGCCAGGGTAAGAGTGCTTAGCCCTGGCTGTTCTTTTCAGGGAACATCTGCTCCAGGACTGAGGGTGCAGGCGGGCATCCTCTAAGCCAGTGCTAGCCCCACTGGAGCCATTGGTGGCGTAGCAGGGGTGGACGTCCCTGCCTTGCAGTTGCTGGAACAGCAAAGCGTTCTGTGAGTCTGGAGATCAGGAGAGGGGCTGACCCCACCCCTCCTTGCCAAGGCCCTCGCGCTGGCCTGCCTCCCTTTGCCCATGGCACTTGCCCTCACCTGTTATGTGTGGAGGAGCGACGATGACTGCCAGCAGGGGCACCAGGCCCAGGGCTTTGTGATTATGGAAGGACGGTTCTGTCAGCCCCAGGCACTCTGAGACAGACAGACTTGGGACCAGATTAAGGGTGGACCTTGCTCTTTAAAAAAATTGTTCCCCTGAACTATCTATATAAAAAAAAAACCGTATTCAATGCTATTTATTTCCCTAGTAACTTTAAAAATAAAGCCATCTTAACGGAACCAGTTCTTCTCGAATGCCCGCTTTGGATGGGACCTGGAGGGAACAAAACAGGGCACAAGGCACCCCGGGGAGCGTGAGCAGTCACCCACAGCCAGCTGTGTTTACACAGCACAGCCCGGGCTCTCAGTGCGGGCCTCCCCCTCAGAGGCCGGGGTCCTGGGCTCTGGGCCTGGACTTTCAGTTGGCGCCATGTTGCCTGTCCCGTTGCAGAACGAGGCTGGAAAGAGCGATGGCCTCTCCGTGAAATACCAATGTTAGGCAGTCGGTGGTGTGTGACGGGGGTGTCAGAGTGTGCATGTGCGGAGGTACCTGCCCAGCCTGGCTAGAGCGGACGGAGCCAGGCCAGGGCTTCTGTCATCCGGCTTCCCCTCGGTTCTGCAGGCTCAGACCGCGGCCGGGCGGCTGACGGTCATACGTGAGGTTGTGGACAGGCACAGGCCATGGCTCCTGCTGGAGTCTCAGTAGTGGCGGCGTGGGCCTGGCAGGACTGGCAGCAGCGCCCAGGGGGCAGAAACCAGTAGTAGGCTTGAGTGAAGCGAGTGTCACAGCGGAGAGGGGCTGACCCCGCACCCCCTTGCCAAGGCCCTCGCGCTGGCCTGGCTCCCTTTGCCCATGGCACTTGCCCTTACCTGTTGTGCCTGGGGGTGCTGGGTGGCGGTGATGCTCTGACCAGCCCCCAGGTGTCCACGCTGCTCGCTGGCGTGTGGGGGACCACGAGGGCCGTGAGGGCCTGGGTTTGTGTAAGCCATGCTGTGCTCGCCGTGGCAGCCTTCTTGCTCCTTTTTGATGTCCTGACTCTGCTCCCTCCTGCTAGCCCTGCCCGGCCAGGCCTCAACCAGTGACTCCTGGACTAAAGCCGCCACCGCCTTCAACGGCTCCGAGTCCGGCTCTGCCGAGGTGAGTGCTGGTGCCCCCCGTCCACATGGCGCCTGTGCTGGGCTGTGTCTGTCCTGCAGCCCAAGCCCTCCCTCAGCCTCAGCACCTGAGCCTGTACCCGAGGCCATCCCCTCAGGCCCCGGCAGGTGGCTGGACTGCGGTCTGATTCTGACCTGTGTGAGAGGCAGGAAGAAAAGGGGTTACCCACCCCATGTCGGGGAGCAGGTGGGGCTCCCTTCACACCTGGGACGGCGGTCACCAGTTTGGTTAGGGTCACATGAGAGATGAGTGTGACGGTCTCGGCCGAGGACCCGCTGGGGCTCTGGAGATTCGGACAGGGGTGGCTTTGGCCACGTCCTTCCCTTCAGCTGTCAGGTCAGGACCCAACGCGGGGCAAGACGGCACACAGGCGGCAGCACGGGGAGCGGGGCCGGGCGCTAACCCGCGGGGTGCCTTGCACAGCAGGGCTTTAAGAGCAGCCAGGGAGACAGTGGTGTGGACTTGAGCGCCGAGTCTCGAGAGTCGTCCGCGACCTCCTCGCAGCGCAGCTCGCCGTACGGCTCTCTGAAGCCGGAGGAGATGAGCGGGTCCACCCTGGAGCCCAAGGCTGACGGCCACAAGGAGCAGGCCCAGAAGCAGCCTGAGCAGAAGGTAACGGGAGCCCCCCTGGCAGGGCCGGGCCTGGGCGGAGGGCTCGCTGGCTGGCTTCTCCCTGATTCCCAGGCGTAGAAGGGCACCTGGTCTGCGTCTCAGCTTCTCTCTTTCCCGCCCAGGACTCGGAACAAGGCTCCACGCAGAGCAAGGAGCACCGGCCCGGACCCATCGGCAACGAGCGCTCCCTCAAGAACAGGAAGGGCTCCGAGGCGGCCGAGCGCCTGCCCGGCGCCGCCGTCCCGCCGGTCAACGGGGTGGAGATCCACGTGGACTCGGTGCTCCCGGTGCCGCCCATCGAGTTCGGAGTCGGCCCGAAGGTGAGGCTTTACTTACTTGTTTTCTTGGAGAGGTTGTCTCCTAGACAGGCACCGGGGAGCGTGCGGTGAGCTGTCCCCAGAGTCCCTGCTGCCGCCACCAGGGTCTCGGGCCGAGCGGGCGCAGCCTTTGTCGCTCCGGGCGGGGCCGCGGGCACGGCAGGGAGAGGAGGAGAGGCGGCCCTCGGCCCTGCCCCGCGGGGGAGCAGGCGGCCAGGTGCTCGTGTGGGCGTGGTGCGTTTTTAGAGGCGCCGAGACCACGGCTCTGCCGCACGGGGTACGGGATCATCTCCAGGGACTCTGTCCCCTTCTTCCAGGACTCGGACTTCAGCCTGCCGCCGGGCTCCGCGCCTGGGCCCGCCGGGAACCCAGTGGTCAAGCTCCAGGACGCCCTGGCTAGCAACGTGAGTGCGTCCGCGCTGGCCGGCCGCGGGTCAGACAGGTCGGGTTTGAGTCAGGACGTAATTTCTAGCTGCTCACATATCTTCAGCTAGTTGTGTCAATGTCCTACACCCAGTTTGGTCATCTTAAAATGGGATGATGTGTTTCCTGGTTTGTGTAGCGTGCTTCGGTTCTCTGTTCTTCCAAGTCCGTGTTATGTTTGAGAACGCTGGGCACCACGCTGCCCGCCTGAGCGCTCGGGCCTCGCAGGTGCTGAGGGCACTGCCCAGCGCTGGAGAGGCTGGCAGGCATCGCTACACCTGCACCAGGGACCTCTTTCTCAGCCTCCTGGAGGTCTCCAAGCCAGTGTGCCGGCGGCCAGTGGTTATGTTGCTGGCATAACCAAAGCTGTGCTAGAGGGCGGGGAAGGGGGACTCTCCTGGGCCTCTGTCAGGGCAGTCATGAAGGCAGCTCTTTGGAGGAGATAAACGGGTCTCGGCGCTGGCAGCTTCAGCTTGTGTCTGAGCACAGGACCAGACCTGAAGGACATGTGACACGCCGTCCCGCCGCCTCTGTGCCTGGTCCCATGGCCTCCTGTCTCCTCCAGGCCGGGCTGACACAGAGCATTCCCATCCTGCGGAGAGAGCACCACATCCAGAGGGCCATCGGCCTCTCCCAGATGTCCTTCCCCACAGCCGACCTCACCCTGAAGGTAACGCCCGTCCGGAGCGCGGCAGGCCCATGGGCTTGTGAGGAGGCAGGAGCGGCAGCCCCCCACACTGCCATCGGCTCTCCCCAGTGACGTTCATCCCTCTCCTCCCCTCCTCCAAGATGGAGTCTGCGCGGAAGGCTTGGGAAAACTCGCCCAGTTTGCCGGAGCAGAGCTCTCCGGGGGGCCCGGGCGCGGGCATCCAGCCCCCGTCCTCGGTGGGCGCCTCCAGTGGGGTCAACTACAGCTCCTTCGGCGGCGTCTCCATGCCGCCCATGCCCGTGGCCTCCGTGGCACCGTCTTCTCTCCCAGGTACGGCCCGAGCCTCCTCGTGCGCTTCGCAGAGTGTGCAGTGGCAGCCTGAGCACACCCTGCGTGGCTCCCAGTCTGCACGTGGGAGGCCGGGATCACAGCGTTTCTGAGGCTCTGTCCCAGCCCCTGGAGGGAGGACGAGCAGAGACGGGCATTGAGGTGGATTGGGGTCATGGGGGCCGTGTCCCCTCTGCCGGTGAGCGGCGCCCCTCTGAGTCTCGGTCCGGCTCAAAGCCAGTCCGGCAAGGACGGCGCTCCGGGGGGAGCCATGCTGACAGAGGCCACACCAGGAAGTGCTTTCCTCTCAGTCAGCCACGGACACGTCCTTCCTGCCAGCATCCTGGTCATCACGTCTGTGCCCAAGGGGGAGGGGGGAGTTTTAAGGTCCCGGCTGCCGAGGTCTCAATGATGGAATTCCAATAGATCCTTCTGACCCTCCACTGTGGACTCAATAGCAGGGAGATGAAGAGGAACGTGGCTGAGAGACCCAGGCAGCCTGCATGCGGTGGAGCCTCCTGCGTGGGGCAGTGGGCACGAGGGCGTGGGACGGGGTGGGCACGGCCTGTCCCCTAAGGGTCCTCAGGGACAGGGAGGCCTGATCCTGTCTGCCTCCGTGGGTTCTGTCTCCAGGCAGCCACCTGCCGCCTCTCTACCTGGACGGCCACATGTTTGCGAGTCAGCCCCGGCTGGTTCCCCAGACCATACCTCAGCAGCAGAGCTACCAGCAGGTGAAGGCCGCGGGCCGGGGCCTGGGGCGGCTGGGGGCGGTGCCAGAGTCCTCCTTTCTCCTTTCTCCGTGTCCCTCACGTGTCGTGCCCAGCACCTGGCATGCCATGGCAGCCATCAGTGTGTGGGGACGAGTAAACGAGAGGCGAGGAAGAGGGATGGAGCTCAGTGCTCCAGACTCTGCTTAGTTTCCTTCGAGTTCCCCTCTGTCCGGCCGGGGAACTAGCTGAAACGGAATTCTTTTTGGTGATCAGGTACCCTTCTGATGAAGAGAAGCAAGGCCTAGACTCCCAGGCATGGATGCATTAGAAAGAGGTAGTCTTAGAACGAGCAGGCGTTGGTTTTTACGCAGCACCGGCAGTTCCCGTGCTGCAGGGGGTGCTTGCTGGAAGCTGGAAGCTGGCGGGGGCCAGACCTTCCTGCCAAGCCAGCACCAGGCTCCCGGCGGAGGCCTCCCAAGAGCAGATTCGGGGCAGAGGAGAGGCCTGGGCCTGGCCTGGCCTCTTTAAACGTGTTCTCCAATGTCACCTTGTCTAGTTGTGCAAGGTGATGGTCTTCACGGAACCGGATCACACTGCATGAGTTCTGTGTGCGGTGGTCCGCTCACCCTTGCGTCTGAGCGCCACCTCGATGCGTGCAGTAGGGAGGCGTATGACGCGTAGAGCGAAGGAAGCGCAGGAGGAGGTGCTTGGACTTGCACTCGGGCGGTTCCAGCTGCGTGCGGAGGGGAAGGGAGGACCGGCTGGGAGGGCCCCGCGGTGACCTGCTGGCTTCCCCACAGGCTGCCGCTGCCCAGCAGATCCCCATTTCCCTTCACACGTCTCTGCAGGCGCCAGCCCAGCTGGGGCTGAGGGGCGGGCTCCCCGTCTCCCAGTCACAGGAGATCTTCAGCTCCCTGCAGCCCTTCAGGTGAGACCGGGAGCTCAGACCTTTGCGTCCTGTGCGCCCGTTCCCTCTGCTCTGCCCTTGGGGTGGTGGTCACTATAGTTCGTTCTTCACCATGTGCAGGAGGGGCCGAGAGCTGCCCCCTGCCCTCTGCCACGCCCACGCCCTTGCCCACCGCTCCAGCTGCCCTTGCCGTGTCTCCCATCTAGTGCTTTAGGCATCACACAGGTTTCCCTGCGTCTTGTACGTCTGTCCGTTTGTTTAACCCAGTGATGCCCAAACTGTGGCCCCTAGGCCAGCAGCAGGGCACTGTCCAGGGCTGTGTACACGTCGGGGCCTCGTGCTGGCTCTCCCCCACCTGCCCTGACACTGTCTGGCTTTTGCAGGTCGCAGGTGTACATGCACCCCAGCCTGTCGCCACCCAGCACCATGATCCTCTCCGGGGGCACAGCCCTGAAGCCTCCGTACTCGGCGTTCCCTGGCATGCAGCCCTTGGAGATAGTGAAGCCCCAGTCCGGCTCCCCCTACCAGCCCATGAGCGGGAGCCAAGCCCTGGTGTACGAGGGCCAGCTCAGCCAGGCGGCCGGGCTGGGCGCCTCCCAGATGCTGGATTCCCAGCTCCCCCAGGTCAGGAGCCAGTCCCTCACCCCCACCCCCACCCCCTACCCCACCCCCGCCCGCTTTTCCCTCGCCTGCCTCGGTGTGTGTTGACTTGTGCTGTAGCCTCGGTGACTGGCCTTGGGCTGCTGGAACCAGGCCACATGCTCAGCCCCTTCTGAGGGATCTCATCACCTCTGTCCCCAAAACCCGCTTCCCCTCAGAGCAGTGCGCCTCCTGGAGCGCCCTCCCCCCTCCCTCCCGCGCTGGAGGGCTGGAGGTGAAGTGAGCGATGCTTCAGTCCTCCCAGCTGTCTGCTGGACATGAACTCAAATCCACTGGGTTGCCCCTATCTGGGCTCTAACGTCTGTATCTCACGGCATCTCCAGCTTGACTTGATCAGACACCTGGTCCAAAACGGGATTTTCTCCCTGGTCCTTGAGGTGGCCCTGTCCGCGTCCCCCGCTCTGGGCCGTCAGAGGGCAGCAGACCCTCCCTGGCAGGCTCCCACCCCTCCCTCTAAAACAGGGGGCGTGTGCAGGGCAGGCCTGGGTCCCCATGGCTCTGGCTGCCACGTGTCTCCGTGATGCAGTTCCAATAGATCCTTCTGACCCTCCACTGTGGACTCACCAGCAGGGAGATGAAGAGGAAAGTGACTGAGAGACAAAAAGTGGCCCCCTCTGCCCTCTCCTCACCCACCTGGTTCTGGACATTGGAAGGGGTGGCTGAGGCTGTGCAGTTACTTTCTCTGTCATAACGTGCGTCCGAAGTCCCAGGAGGCTCCAGTTAGGCTCCAGGAACCCTGGCCCAGAGCTTCGTGCTCGGACCTTTAGGGGCAGAGCCAGGCGGGTTGGCCCGGGCGCTGCCCAGAGGGAGCCTTTCCTGCCTGGCTGTTCTCACTGGGGTCCCCATGGACGCCACCTCCCGAGAGCCTCCGGGTCCTCCCTAGCTCTTCCCGCCCCCACCGCCCGCACACGGACCCGCACACGGACCCGCACACGGACACACACAGGCTGCTGCCCACACACTGCGCTCTGGCACCGGCGCGGCGCCCAGCATGGCACTGACTGCCCTCGTGGCTCTGGGCTGACCGTGTCCTGGCACTTCCCCGCACAGTGTGCCTTCAGCGAGCCTTTGCAGGGTGGAAGCGGGGAGGGCTGGAGCACACGCCCTTTCCACCTCGGAGAGGGGCCCCGCCCGCCGGGTGGCACTGGCCCCCTCGCCTGTGCCTGCCTCCTCACCACCCACTGTTCCCCCCGCCGAGTGTGAAATCCAGGGTGACCTCGCGTCTCGCACTGCGGGGCGGGAAGGCCTCGCTGTGACTCGTGAAATAAGAGCCTGGAGTCTGACGTGTGCTCGCTCTTGGGTGTGAGTGTGAACCTCCACTTCCCTTCCTGACTGTCCCCGTTGTCAGCAGCTGACGATGCCACTGCCCGGCTCCCAGCTGCCCCTGCCGCGCTACGGCTCCGGACAGCAGCCCCTGCTCCTGCCCCAGTCCATCCAGCTGCCGCAGGGCCAGAGCCTCTCCGTGGGGGCCCCTCGCAGGATTCTCCCGCCCGGGTCGCAGCCTTCCGTCCTCAGCACCAGCAGAGAGGTGAGCGGCTCCACCCTGCTGGCATCCTGCAGGGTGTCACCAGCCCCCAGTTAGCCAGTCGCCACTGTGTGGCTAGGGGCCTGGTTAGTGTACAAGCTGGCCGTGTAGGAAGCTCAGGTGTGCGTTGCCCACGCAGGAAGGAGGTGTGTCAGTCCATGCCTGGTCCCTATGTGGGTACAGGAGCACCCGAGGAGCCAGCTCAGGGCCAGGTCTTAGAGGCCCAGGGAGAGGGTGTCTGGGGCGGGGCCCAGGTCCCACGCTCCTCACTAGCCCCATGGTTCTGCTGAGGCCTCCTCCTCAGGGCAGAGATGGCAAGGGAGCGCCCGGGGTGGTACTCAGCCCCTTCAAAAGGAACAAGCCTCCAGCCTCGATTCCTTTAAGAGCTGCCTCTACCCAGCAGCTCTGGGTCTTCCTGGGCCCCATCGGCTGTGCACAGGGCGTTTCCGCAAGGGCCAGGCTGTCCCCAAGGCCACCAACCCGCAGCTTTTGCTTCCCGGTCTCTAGTCCTCTCAGATGGAGATGAAGGGCTTCCACTTTGCCGACAGTAAACAGAATGTTCCTTCCGGAGGCTCCGTGCAGTCACCACAGACCTACAGGTAAAGGGGCCGCAGGTGCTGCGGAACGGGGGTTCCCAAGAAGCTGAGGGCCCCGGGAGGGGGCGCAGGGCACCAGGCCGGTCCCCGCGTACGCCCACGTGTCACCATGACGCTTCAGTCATCGCTGAGCTCAGGGACTGGACTGGCTGTTGGTAACCCTCAGCCCGTGCTCTGCACTGGAGAGCTTGCCTGGAGGGCGGGGAAGGTCAGCTGATGTCAGTGTTGGGCTGGCCCTCCCGCGCACAGCCCTCCCGCCGGCTCTCAGAACAGCATTCCGTGGCCGCGCAGGTGCAGCCCGGGCGGAGGTGCCCCCTCCCCCAGACATGGTGCTGCTGGGCCCCGCCTTTTTGCTTCCTCTCCACCCGTCTCTGCCTCCAGCACCAGCCCCAGGGCCCTGAGCTGGGTCAGAGCTGGCCTGGATGAATTATCTGGTTCAATTACTTGTGGTGAGAAGGCAGCAGAGCTCAGCCTCTGCCAATGTCCTCACCCCAGGGATCCGTGTAGCTGGGAGGGCAGCATGACCAGCTTCGGGCCCAGGGTCAGTGCAGTGGACTCTGATGTGTGGGAGACTCTCTCCTGGAAGCCGCCCTGGTGGTAAATGAGTCAGACAGACGTGCAGCTGGCAGTGCCCGGGAGAGGTCAGCGGAGGCCCCTGCGCCCACCTGGTCCTCTGGGGGAGGGGCCTGCAGTCAGATCTGGCCAGCACTGTGCCCGCCGCTCCTGGAGCCACTTCCTTCCATCCTTCCAACAGCATTTCCAGGGAGAGGAATTTTCCCCATTTCAACTTTTCTTATTTTCACTTATTTTTATTAGTTCGCTTTATTATCTGATCATATTTTCCACGTGGGCCAAAACAACCACCGTTAGAAACTGTGTGTGGGCAGCAGCACAGAGCCAGGTGCAGAGGGAGGAAGGAGGGAAAGAGGGAGGAAGGGAGGGAGGGAGGGAGGGGGCTTGGAGTGTGCAGGTGCTGCGGTCTCCCTGCAGTGCCCAGCTGCCACCCTTCCTGGACACACCCAGGAGACGGACCCTCCCTCACCAGAGCCGTGTGTGCCCAGTGTGGGAGTGGCTGTCACTGCCCTCCGTGGAGCTGCTTAGAAAACAGAATCCTGAGCTAAGGGCCTTTGTTGGTATGTTCTTATAGAGAAGCATTTCCCACTTTTTCTGGAAACGATTTCTGAAGGTGTCCTGCCACCCGGGCTCCGCTCCGGTCCTTGGCGGGTGCTGTGTGCAAGGAGCCTGCTCCTGGGCACAGCCCGCGGTCCAGAGTCCTGGTGAACTCTGCACACAGCGCTTCGCGTACTTTCACCATGAAATCATTTTTTCACTTAGCATCCAATCACCCTTTCTGGGAACTGGTTGTCTGGGCAACAGAACACACGTAGAAAGGTGTCTACAGTATCTCCATCCCACCAACCTCCACCCCCTTCCAAAGAAAGGGAAGACTAGAAAAATACTGGGCATGCCCTAACCGGTTTGGCTCAATGAACAGAACAGGCCTGCGGACTGAAAGGTCCCGGGTTCGATTCCGGTCAAGGGCATGTACCTTGGTTGCGGGCACATCCCCAGTGGGGGATGTGCAGGAGGCAGCTGATCAATGTTTCTCATCGATGTTTCTAACTCTGTAAAACTCCCTTCCTCTCTGTAAAAAATCAATAAAATACATTATTAAAAAAAGAAAAGAAAAATACTGGGCATAATTCTTAGGTTAAAGACCTTTTATCTGGCCACAGAGTCACGTTGGTCCAGACCCTCCAAGCCCTGAGAGTCTTGCTGCTCCTGCCCGTCCATCTGCCTGGTCAGTTCTGTCCACAGGGGCCACCTCGGTCTCTGCCCCCGGGTGCATCTCCCTGAGCCGCGCCGGAGGGTCCAGGGGGACCGGCCCGCTCTCCTCTGAGCTGGGCTCCCGGTGTGTCTTCCTCTGCCGGGAGGTCTGAGAGCCCGAGCCAGGGCCGCGCGCCGGGCTTGACTCCCTCCGCTGGTGACGTGTGTTCTCACCCCCTGCCTTTGGTTTTTTCAGGCCTAGCTCTGCTAGCCCCAGTGGGAAGCCCTCTGGATCAGCAGTTAACATGGGCTCTGTGCAGGGACACTACGCTCACCAGGTAGAAGATGGCTTTCCAGACCTCCAGCCCCGACGCTTAGGCCCGTCTCCAAGCGCCAAAAGAGAAGGGACTGTCCGCCCCGTTTGCATGCTCCTCTTATAGAGAGAGGCGTGCCCTAGCGCTTAGAGCATGGCGCCAGGGGTCGAGTCCTTCTGGCGGGCGAAGGCATTGCTCCTCCTGACGGGCGTCTGGATCCTTCCTTGTCCTGCAGAGAAGGGAGGATGCGGAGTCCCCGGAGAGGTGACGCCGGCAGGTGGACTGGCCTCCTAGCGATTCGGGCTGTGAAGGTGCTGGGACTGGGCTAGGTCTGTGGGTCAGCGCTAGCCGCCGGGCGTGTGCGTGAGCGTGCACATGTAGCCTTAGTGAGTGCTGCCTGTCTGTCCTGGCTGGGAGGGGCCGCGATGGCGTGGCACTTCCAGGCAAGGGGCGCTGTGCTCTCAGGCTTCTCAGTAAGGCAGCTCCTGGCTGGTGGTGGCGGAGGACTGGCCACTCACTTCACTTCTCCCCGCGTGGCTCCCCGGGGGCCGCTCCTGGAGGTGCTTGGATTGAGCAGACGCTCATGATGTGGGGTAGATGGAGGCCGGTCACTCTGGCGCACTGCCCAGTGCTGACCTGAGAGTAGGGAGGCCCTGGTGTGAACCTGGAGGTCAGACTCGGTCCTGGGGATGGGCTCTCGAAGGTCCGGGAGACCACACCTGCCTGAGGCCCCACCCTCTGCGGACCAGCGGGTCCCTGTGGGGGCTCTGTCCCTGGGGCCCGGGGTGGGGCACTGATTGGAGGGGGTTCTTCAGTCGGCCCTGCGGAGGGGGCCCCCGCGTCTTCCCGCCTCCGATCACCGCACTCAGCGCCTGCAAGAGGGGACAGCAGCGCCACCGTGTCCTTCCTAAGAGAGCTGCTTCTAGTCTGTCCTCCGCCGAAGGATGGACCCTTAGGGTAGCTCTTCTCCGGGGCTCAGGAGCAGGAAGGGGGGGGGTTGTCTGTGTAGCCAGCGGCGGCTGCCGTGTGAGTGTAACTGCGTTGTCCCATTCATCTGTCCAAAGGCAAAACCACGAGTGGATGAGAAGCCCGGCCTGGGAGCCGTGACCCTGCAGGAGGCCCCCTTGGCCGCCTCCCAGATGAAGCGCACGGGAGCCATCAAGCCTCGGGCAGTGAAAGTGGAGGAGAGCAAGGCCTGAGGTGCTGGCCTGGCCGCGCTGTCGCGGGCAGAGCCGCCCCTCCATCCGACCGCCTGGCCGTCTGGCAGACCCTCTCTGCTCCTGACAACTCCGACGTCTAACCAGCTTGCACCGTGGATATGTGGCGTTGACCTGCTTGCTTTCATCCGAAACAGCAAACAACCCTTCCCATCTCCTTCCCACCCGCCCGGATGCGGCCATGAGGATCCAGCCGCGCGCAGTGAGGGCGGCGGGGGCAGCCCCTCGGGCAGCTCCTCTGTGGGCTCAGTGCTCCCCCTCCCGCCCCACACGGTGGTGCGGCAGCAGGTCCTTCCTTTGAAGCTTCCTGTTTTAAAAAGCAGCTGAAGCAGCCAAGGTTTTACCGAGAAAGGAAACAAGACACAAGCGATGTCTGTGTAGCTGAGCTTTCGTATGGTCTTCACCAGCCTGCCCTGATCCCTTGTCCAGTGGTGGCGCCCCCTCCTGTTCAGTGTGAGACGTCATTGCAAGACTCCGCTGCCTCCATTGGTTAGCCTCTGAGGCCACATAGGGCCTCCGGCTGTGCCCCAGGAGGCCCCGGGCAGCCCAGTGAGCTGGGTTTTACGTGAGGGTTTCTGTCCTGGAGCCTAAAGCCAGTGGACGTGCTGGCCACTGGCCCTGAGGTGAAGCACGGAGACACAGTCACTGGTGTGTTCCAGGTTGGCCTGCCGTGCGAGCAGGCAGCACCACAGCTCCCCACCCCCCCAACCCCCATATCTGCTTTAGGGCCCCGGCACCCAGGGCTGCTGTTCACTCATACCCCCTTTCCAGAAGCCTCCTCTCCTGCGCCTTCTTCCCGGCCTCTCCCCACCGCTGGGTGGGGCCGGCAGGGCTCCCTGCTGCTCCTCGCCTAGCAGACAGCCCAGGTGGGGGACAAGGCGCCTGAGCTGAGCAGTGAGGTCAGCCTTTCCAGCGCGGGCAGGTCCAAGGGAGGCTGTGTGCAGGGCTGACCGTGGTTCTGAGAGCCTGGGCAGCCACCCAAGTCTGCAGAGCTGCCTCCGGCCAAAGGCTCACAGGAGCCATTTTATGCTGAGCTGAAATCACCCCAGACCCTGTCATCCGAGGGGGAGCTTGTGGCTTTTGCACACTGAGCAGCACCTCCACAGAGGGGGCAGCCATGGCCCCAGGGAGCTTGGCTCAGCAGAGCGGAAGGTGGGTAGGTGCCACCCTGTGACCTGCAGGTGTGTACTGGCTGCTCAGGCTGCGTCTCAGCTCTGTTCAGTGTAGGGAAAGAGGGCTCTCGGGCTGCTGAAATGGCTTGTGCTGTGATGGCTGCTTTAAGGCCGGAACAGCCGCCTGGCAGAGCTCCCATCTCGCGCCTGGAGGGCCACTTCCTCGGACGATGCTTTACTGCTCACGTGGTAGCTTTGCGCACCCGTCTCCATCCTCAGACCTCACCCTCCTGGCTTCTCCACTCATCTCCTGAACCTTTCCTCTGATCCTGTCCTCACTCCTGCCCTGTGCTCATCTGCTCTCCCCCCCCAAGTGAGCTGCTGCCTCCTCCCCAACCCCCCTCCCCGCTGCCTCAGTGCCCGGTTGCCTCCAGCACCTGGCTGCCCTGCAGGAGCCACATGCTCACTGCTGCCTGGACATCGGGAAGCCTGCCCACCTGAGTCTGGGTCTGCTGCTTGTCTAAAGCAGAAAGGGTTTGCTCGCTGTGAGATTCCGCAGAACAGTCCGGATGCTGTTATGAACTCAAGGTGTGCCCTGGTGTCTGACAGTGACAGGGCTGTTTGAGGAAAAATAAAAACAAGAGTCACCTGCTCTCCAGCCCTCTTCTCTGCCCTGCATTTTCCACACCCCCTCCCCCAATAAAACAAAACACTAGAATTTATTTATATGTATTGTCGTAGTCTAGGTGAAGGAAGGAACTGTCCCACTGCTCTATTTATAGATTCGTCCCTGGAAGGCCAGGAGTTGCATGTGACCTTCAGTGCTTTCTCCACCTCGCGTGCCCAGGGCGGGCGCTTCCCTCCGAGACAGTTCCAGCCGGACTCGGGCGGGGGAGGCCCGGGCCTGCCGCACCCATCCCTTCCTTGGTCTGATTAAATGCGGTCTGTACTGCAGAGAAGTTTTAAGGTGCAATCTCTTCTTTCACGTGGTTTTGGAGCAAAGCTCAAGGAAGCAGGACTTTGGGTCTTATTTTGGTTTCAAACCTCCCTCTTCAGAGCGCGTATCCACGCAGAGGCCTCGGCCAGCGTGTTTGGGGCCTTTGGTGGGAACCGGTGAAAACCCAAACTTAACTTTTCTGCTGCTGAGATGGGGGTGGTGTCCACACCCTCATGCACCTTTGCCCGCTGGCCACCCTTCTGATGCTGGCAGCTCTGCCCTGGCTGTGGATGGTGCAGCCCACACTCAGCACCAGGAGCCCTGATGTAGCGTCTGTCCAGCGTCAACTGCCCAGCGGAGTGAAATCCCAGCATCCGGGGTTGTGTGTCTGAGAGGCAGCGACCGACCACCGAAGATTTCTCTGCCAGCTGTTTGGTCTGGTTTCTGTACCGTTACCCACCCCACCCCCCAACCCCCGTTTTGTCCACGCTTGTTTGCAAACTTGGACTTCATACACTTCCGGCTCCGGTTCCTTAAGGGGAAAAACAGGATGACGGACACATTTCAGAAAAGTCAGTTTGCCCACCTTCAAAGCTGGGTCATTCCAGCCACTTCTCAGAACACTGAGCATCTCGTTACACACCAGTGCCCACGCTCCATCGAGGCCCCCGCCTTCCTGCCTCCTGCCTCCTGGACCGGCCTCGGGGATGGAGGGTGAGATTTGTGACTGATGTCCAGAGCCAAGGAGGAGGACGTGCATGCGCGAAGTCGTGAGGCAAACAGTACAGCTCCTCCCTGCCGGCCGCTCCCCTCCCAAGTAGCTGTGCGCTGCCTCTCCCCTGGACTTGGCCCCCACCTGCACAACAAGCCTGGGTAGGACGGTTGTTGGGAAGTGGCCTTGGACAGCCCAGATACTCGAGTGTTTGTGCTTTGTTGTGCTCTGTGATGAGGGGGACGTGCAGACTTCAGAAAGCCAGCCCCTGCGGTTCGCAGGCATGAGACCACCCAGGACAGGAACGCTCAGCATTGGGGTCAGTTTGTCCCCCACTAAGCTCTCCACTCGGACCATCCGACCTGCCGTTCAGTTGTCCCCCTTCTCCCCCTCCCCCATTGGTGGCCTCCAGGATGGTAGCAGTGTCCCAGGGCCCTGTCCTCAGCATGTTACAGAGCCTCGCAGGGGACACTGGGCTGCAAGCTTCGGACCTCCCGCCTCGCATAGTGAAAAGAGTTTGGCGTTTTATTCTTGAGAGGGTTTTTGTCCCCCCCCCTCCCCTTTTTTTTTTGGCCTTTCCTCTCTTAGTCTTCTCATATAGACCAGATATTTGAAAGGGCAGACGATGGCTAAAGGCGTGGTGTGCAGCTTGTTCATACATTATTTGGGGGAAGCTTTTGCCGGATGGGAAATGGAATCATGAGCTCACCAGGCCGTGGTGGCACTCACCCCTTGCCCTTTCCCTCCAGTCCAGTACCTATTGTTTCTCCTTTCAAATATGTGATTGTACTAACTCTTTCCATATGAAAGAACTCTCCTTATTTAAATAAAAAAAAAGTTAAAAAAAAGTAACGCCCTGAAGCTGGACATGCTTTCTCTGCTGTGTCCCTGGGTTTTCTGTGGTTTTCCTTTGAGGGTGCACGTTAATGAGGGACTTGACTGGCATTCCTTAAAGCAACACGGGGCGAGAAGAGGCTGCAACCTGCAGGTGAGGTCCACTGTCCAAGCGGGTCAGCAGTAGCAGTCCGCACGATGGTGGCGGGGTGTGCATGGCGACGGAGAGGGGTGGTCAGAGCCGTCTGCTTTGCTGCTGGGCCTGCCTTCCCTTTGCTGGAAGGAGCGCTGCGCTGCACGTGTAGCTGGGGCAGGCGGCAGTTCTCGGGTCTGCCATCTCCCAGCTGTGACCTCCGTCGACCTCGTTTGTCACTGTTTCCTTGGCTAGGACGTGGTGGACTCCGCAGGACCTACCTTAGGGGGTGATGTGGGTTCAAAGAATGTGGGCAATTACAGTCTGCTCCGGGGAAGCTTAACGTGTCCGCGAGGAAACCCTGCCCCGGGCAGGTGCCTTCGGAGCCTGAGGGCGGGGTGGCCAGCGTGGGGTTCAGTCTTAGAAGCGGCGACAACGCAGTATGGCTGCAGCCGTCTGTCCGGGTGAACGTGCACAGGAAGAGGGACATGAGGACACGGTGGGTCCGCGCCGCCGAGCGAAAGGACTTCGGTTGAATCCTGTGAAGCACAAACATGTGCTGCGGGCGCCGCGGGAGGCGGCCTCCCCCGCGCAGCCCCGGCCCCTGCAGCCCCCGCGGCGCCCGCCCAGTGCGCACGCGCACCCCCCCCCCCGACCTCGCCCAGTGCGCACGCGCGGCGCTGCCCGCCGGCCCTGCGGGCGCCGCGAATGGAGCATCCAACCGGGCGGTGGGCGGTGCCGAGCGCCGAGCGGCCCCGCCCCGCCCCGCGCCGCGCGTGCGCCTCGGGAGCCCCTCACGGTCCGCGCCCGGCGGGTCCCAGGCGCGGCGGCCGGAGGGAAGGTGAGTCCGCGTGCGGCCCGCGGGCGAGCTGGGCCCGGGGGCGGTGCCGTCCGAACAGGGGGCTGGGCGCCCGGGAAAGAAGGGGACCCCGGGGGGGGGGGAAGCTTGAGGTGAACAGTGGCCGGTACTGCGCCGCCTGCGGGAGGGACGGGGCGCCCGGGGCTGACGTACCTTCGAGGAGTGGAGTCCGGGGAGGGCGAAGCCCCGGTGAGAAAGGGGGCGCCCGGGCTGGTGCCGCGCGGAGGGGAGAGGAGGGGAGGGGAGGGGGGGAGGTGCGTGGCGCCGAGGAGGCTCCGCGGGTCAGAGGGGGCGGTCACCGGCCCCAGCGCCCAGTGAGAGGGCGGGAAGCCGCCACATTCATTCACAGCCCCCCCCCCCCCCCCTGCTCGGCAGGTGTTGCGTGAATGAGTCTCAGTCTTGAGGTTCCTGCATCCCCCGGGGGGACGGCGGTGCCTCCACAGGCGGTGCTCCCTGTCAGCCTCCGGGCCGGCCTGGGCGTCACCCGTTTTCTCCTCAGGTCTCTTCCAGGGACTCCTCCCGGCCCTCGTGTCCACAAGATGGTGGGGTTTTTGCAGCGGCCCATCGTGGTGACCGCGGATGTCAACCTGAACGTCGTGGCTCTGACGGCCGCGGGGCTGCTGAGCCGGCTGTGGCGCCTCGCCTACCCCCGCGCCGTGGTGTGAGCCCAGCTGCGGGTCCGGGACGGGGCTGGGGTTGGGGAAGTTAGGGGCGAGACTGGCGTTTCCCCGGGACACCCGGCGGAGCGCACTCGCCCAGGGCTGCCCGTGGTCTGGGGCGGCCACGGGAGCCTCGGGTGACCGGGTGACCGGGTGAGACCTGGCGGTGGGTGGGCGGAAGGCCGAGTCCTCATTGACCTCAGAGGTGCTCTCTGTTCCAGTGGAAAACGGTCTCTCTCATTGTTGAAGGGCCATTTGTTGTCTAATACCGGTTTTCTTCTTCGTTTAACTTCATTATGGGAAAGCATGAAACATATACAAATGTGGGGGAAATAGTATGATGTCCCCCTCACCCTTGTATTCATCACCCAGCTTCAACAGTTATCAACTCACCGGTGGGTGGGGGCCGGTGGGCCCGCCCCCATCGGCCAATCGGGCAGGCTGGCCAGGGGCCCCGCCCCCTGGTTAACCTCCAGGTGGCGGGCACAATTTGCACATTAGCCTTTTATTATATAGAATAGCCGCCCCCTCCCTGCAGTGGATTTTTGGAAGCACGTCACATACGTATTTTATTCGTAAGTAATTCAGTGCACTTGTGTCTCTTAAAGATCCAGGTTCTTAATAAAACCCCAGACCACAGTAGAATGATCACACCCCAGGAGAATGGACGGCGATCCCTGTGTCTTCACCTGAGAGCGTGGTGTCACAGTTGGTTCCTACATGGAGCTGGTGGGCACAGGGTCAGCCTTGGGTCCGAGGGGCCTTTCGGGGGCTGGTTAACGGCACACCCCTAAATCCAAAGTGAGGGAGAGGAACAGAACCGGTGTCTCGGGGGAAGCTGTTGTACACGTGCCTTCCTGCCTGGAGCCCCGTCGTGGCTGGGGCGGAGACCTGGCCTTGCCGATCGCTCCTGAGCCGTGTGGAAACAGGTGTACATTTATTCTGGTCCTTGCTGCAGCTCAGGCTGACAGCGGAGTACAGTGTGTGGCTTTGTTTTTCAGGTTCGATGAAGTATATTACGGGCAGTACCTCTCTTTCTATATGAAGCGGGTCTTCTTTTTGGATGGCAGTGGACCACCCTTTGGCCACATGCTGCTGGCCTTGGGAGGTAGGAATCCTTCCAGAGTTATAGGAGAGTCCAGCCAGCATGGCTCAGTGGTTGAGCACCGACCTGTGAACTAGGAGGTCACAGTTCGATTCCCAGTCAGGGCACATGCCCAGGTTGCGGGCTTAATCCCCAGTTGGGGGTGTGCAGGAGGCAGCTGATCAATGAGTTATCACTGGTGTTCTATCTCTTGCTCCTCCCTTCCTTTCTGAAATCAATAAAAAAAAATATATATATATATATATATATTTTTTTTTTTTTCAAAGTTACATGTGAACTTTCTTGAGGGCAGAAGACCTGTTTTATTATTTGTTTACTATTGTTTGCTATTGGCTGCCACTGTTTGGCAGTCCGGAAATACTGCTGAACGGATCGTTACTGATCCATCCTGTTACAGGTTATTTGGGAGGATTTGACGGCAACTTCCTGTGGAACAGGATTGGAGCAGGTACATGCTCGTTTTCACTGCCCTTGCTAATTTGACAAATTAGAATGGGGAGCTAGTGGCCTTCATAGGAATGAACAACTGTGGTTTATTAATGGGAGTCCAGGGTGTGATCAGTTGTTTGGGTACATATGACAGACTTTCGAGAAATCTAGTAAATATCTTAGTGTTTAGTTACAATGATCACTGTATTTTTCTTTTGGATGTATAAGTCGTGTGTGTTGCCACAATGCCTTAGGACCGTGATCGGCAAACTCATTCTTCAACAGAGCCAAATATCAACAGTACAACGATTGAAATTTCTTTTGAGAGCCACATTTTTTAAACTTAAACTTCTCTTAATGCCACTTCTTCAGAATAGACTCGCCCAGGCAGTGGTATTTGTGGAAGAGCCACACTCAAGGGGCCAAAGAGCCACATGTGGCTCACGAGCCGCAGTTTGCCAACCACGGCCTTAGGAGTTAGGTGGGGTAAATGTATAATAGGCAAAGCACGAACTAATTTCAGATCCTTAGTCTCATTCCTGTGTGACATTGACTGTATCGAGCACGTCTCAAAGGCTGCTCACCCGTCAGTTCCCATGAGGCCCCAGTGTTGTGAGCGTTCGTGCTGGAGTCTGAGTGTGAACCCCGTTTGCAAACACTGTGGCCCCGAAACCCTGGCGAGGTCCCACAGGCTCCGGTGCACTCAGCTCCGCTTGGCTGCCTTCCAGAATATAGCAGCAACGTGCCCGTGTGGTCCCTGCGCCTGCTGCCGGCCCTCGCCGGAGCCCTGTCGGTGCCGATGGCCTACCAGATCCTGTGGGAGCTCCGCTTTTCTCACTGTGCCGCCATGGGAGCCGCCCTGCTGATGCTCATCGGTAAGACTGGGCCTCGCCGGCTTTGGCTGGTGCCGGAGGAGCCACGGGGGGCCGTGGCTACGCTTCAGTGTGGCCCAGGAGCTCGGAGCTTAGTGGACCTGCCCCCCTCAGCATCTTCTGCTCAGAGGACGGAAGGAGGCTCAGGCTCCACATTTGACTCTGGGGTTGCCCTGCTCTTAGGCTGGGGCTGTGGAGGTGGGGCCGTATGAACTAGGGCTGTCCAGATAGGTGCCCGGGTAACGGTGGACACCTCCACCTGCACCACGTCAGCCACTCCCTGATGGCCTGCCTCGTCCCACCAGCTCCCGGCCCCACCCAACGCGGTGGCAGAGGTGAGTGGGTAATCCTCACCACGGCCTTTCAGCCAGGTCTCCAAACAAAGGAAATGAACACACGTGTAAAGTCGGACCTTCCAGTAGAAAAAATGGAGGCCCTTTGCCCACATCAGGCCATAGCACGCACGGTGCCCATAGAGCTGGTGTTTCTTCTGCAAACGGGAAAGAGAAGGCTCAGAGAAGCTCAGTGACACGGCCTCGGGTGTGGCCCCCCAAGGGCTGTGGAAACTCCCCGATGCTGAGCGTCCGCCGCCCGCTCTGAGCTGCTGGGAGGTTTGCTTTGCGGGTGTCTCACCTCCATGCCGTGGCCTCCTTCCAACGCCCCCCCCTCCCTGCAGAGAACGCGCTGGTCACGCAGGCCAGGCTCATGCTCTTGGAGTCGCTGCTCATCTTCTTCAATCTGCTGGCCGTGCTGTCCTACCTGAAGTTCTCCAACGCCCAGCACAGGTTCGCCGGGGCCGCTGCTCATGAGCGGGAAAGAAGAGGCTGGGCGCCTGTCCGCCCAGAGGGGCTGAGCCTGTTCGTTCCAGGCGCCCTGGCTGTCTGGCTGCAGCCCCCTGCCCGGCCCTCCGTCCGTGGCTTCAGAAATGCCTCCTTGTTTTTCTGTAACTTAAGCTAACCGAGAAACGTTCCGGCCAGAAAGAGAGCTCGCGGGGCCGATGATGGGGAGAAGGGGGTCCGTTTTCCGTGTCTCTGAAGCTCAGTCCAGTAGCCACCCTAGGGGTCTGGGAGACCCGTTCGCAGCTCTGCCTCTGCCCGCCCACAGGCCCTTCTCCCCCGGCTGGTGGCTGTGGCTGACGCTGACCGGAGTGGCCTGCTCCTGCGCCGTCGGGTGAGTAGGCCGGGTCTGAGGCAGCACCCGTGCCCTCCTCGCTCCGTCTCATTGTAACGTGCCCCGTCGGTCTCCTCAGCATCAAGTACATGGGCGTGTTCACTTACCTGCTGGTGCTCGCAGTGGCCACCGTCCACACCTGGCAGCTGGTCGGAGACCGGGCTCTGTCACACGTAGGGGGCCTGCCGCGGGGCGGGCGGGTGTTGGTGGACAGGGTCAGGAGGGCGCAGGCGTTGGAGCCTGCGTGCGAGTGGTGCCCTGTGTGCCCAGGTCTGTGTGCTGGGCCACGTGGTGGCCCGCGCGGTGGCGCTGCTGGTCATCCCGGCCGCGACGTACTTGCTGTTCTTCTACGTCCACCTGACGCTGCTCTGCCGCTCGGGGCCCCATGACCAGATCATGTCCAGCGCGTTCCAGGCCAGCCTGGAGGTGAGGCCGTGGGCTTGGGTTCTGACACAGACCCTGTCAGTGAGCATCGGGGAGAGCCAGGGCGAGAAGGGAGGCCTGCGCCTCGGCCTTCGCACGGGCTGAGTGTCCCGAGGGTGCAGACGTGGGTGGCGGGGTAGCTTTCCTCGGGGTGACCGCAGTGTGGCCCCGAGACCCTCTGAGGCCCCACAGGCTCCGGCCGGCGCATAGGCCTCAGAGGACAGACCAGCTCGGCCTCGTGCACACGCACTCTGCAGGAACAGAATGTGCCAGTGGAGGGGCTTAGGGTGTGGCCTGGAGTCACACTGACCTATTGGGAAATGCCAGGAAGCTGCTTCCTTACCTGTAAGCGGACACCAACCTGTCTCCAAGGCGGGGCAGTACTCAAGGGAGCCTGTGGATACTTAGCGAGCGCCGCCCGAGGCGGCATGCAGTCAGTGGTTCTGACCAGTGTAACACCACAGCCGTGTCTTCCGTAGTTAGAACTGCCAGCACCCTGAATGTGCTCCCAGGTGGGCGAGGGCTGTCGGGGAGACCGGTTTTACTTGCCCCTTTCGACCTCTGTAGGGAGGGCTGGCTCGGATCACGCAGGGCCAGCCCCTGGAGGTGGCCTTCGGCTCGCAGGTCACCCTGAAGAGTGCCTCGGGCAAGCCCGTGCCCTGCTGGCTCCACTCGCACCCAAGCACCTACCCGCTGAGGTGAGGAAGGCGCCCTGGACTGGACGTTGCAAGATGTTTGTTGTATTTCTTCAGCTTTCCATTATGTGAGGAGTGTCAGGGAGGCAGGGGCTTGAGCTCCTGGGTCTGACTGTCAGAGTCTGGGTACTCCTGCGTGTAAACTTGTGAGGGCTCGCTGGCTGGGCAGAGGACCCGGCATGCCCGCGTGGCAGCCTCGTGACCCCACAGGTCGCGGTCTGTCCGCCGTTCGTGCCGTGTAGGGTCCCGTGTTCCGCCCCTCTTAGATTTAAACTCTGTTTTATCCTTATTCCCCCAGGCTGGGTAGTTGGGAGCCCTGGGGAGAGGCCGATGGGCCCTCCCCGCTGCCAGCCCACTGCAGACCCCGTCTCTGTTGACCCTCCCGTGCAGCTACGAGGATGGCCGGGGCAGCTCCCACCAGCAGCAGGTGACCTGTTACCCCTTCAAGGACGTCAACAACTGGTGGATCGTCAAGGACCCCGGGAGGTATGTACCGGTCCTGGCCTCCAGCTTGACCGCACGGTGGCCAGCAGGGCCTCATCATTTACTCCGCTCTTCCTGCTCGCCCTCACTCACTCACTGCTCCCCCTCCTTCTGCCCATTCTCACCCACTCACCTGCCCTCCCCTCCTGCCCGCCCTCCCCCACTCACCTGCCTCCCCTCCTCCTGCCCATCCTCACCCACGCACCTGCCCCCTCTCTTGCCTGCCCTCACCACTCACCTGCCCCCCCTGCCCATCTTCACCCACTCACCTGCCTCCTCTCCTCCTGCCCATCCTCACCCACTCACCTGCCCCCCTTCCTCCTGCCCGACCTCACTCACTCACCTGCCTCCCCCTCCTGCTCGCCCTCACCAACTCACCTGCCCCCCCTCCTGCCCGCCCTCACCCACTCACCTGCCCCCCTTCCTCCTGCCCACCCTCACCTACTCGCCTGCCCCTCCCCTCCTGCCCGCCCTCATCCACTCACCTGCTCCCCCTCCTCCTGCCCATCCTCACCCACTCACTGCCCTGCGTGGCTAGAGCAGGGCGGCCTCCTACGTGGGCTTTGCATCGCTGTCTGCCCGCAGCCTGTAACAGTCCTGCCCAGCTGGCTCCTCCAGACTTGACCCTTGGCAGCCAGTTCCTCCGGAGGCACCTCGATCAACTGCAGGGCTGGAAGCTTGGAAAGTGCCGTAGGTTCAGAAACGAGCTCAGGAACATGGCTGTTGGCACGAACGCACCTCGTACCAGGGACAAGCTGGCTGGGTGGCTGCACATCCCGCATTGTCCCTTCCGGGAGCACCAGAGCTTTCCTGTCTTGCAGGCACCAGCTGGAGGTGAGCAGCCCACCGAGGCCTGTGCGGCACGGGGACGTGGTGCAGCTGGTGCACGGCATGACCAGCCGCCGCCTCAACACGTGAGTCCAGCCGTCTGCCTCCTCCTGCCAGGTGCCCGCTGTGCTCCCCTGTGCCCCCGGCGGAGGGGACCCCAGGGGCAGCACAGGGAGCAGAGGGAGGGAGGTGGCTTTGGGGGAGCCAGGTGAGGGGAGAGCAGCCAGGCTCACACGCTCAGGGTGCATGTCATCGTGGTGTTCCCGATGTGTCAGTGAGCCCAGCAGGACTGGAACTGGGGTTCGGTGGGGTCAGGAGGGTTGGGACACATTAGCTCTCAGCCCTGATCTAACTCAACTTCTGAGCAGCCCCTGTATTTCGGTGCTGGGCTGCCCCTCGCCGCACCACCATCCAGCGTCTACAGGCACCTTGCTGTACTTTCCCGTCAACGTGATCACCGCATCCTTGGGTCACAGCAGCTGCGGGATCACGGTCCCTTAGGCTGATCTGGTTCTGTTTCTGAAAAGCAGCTTTTCCCCTGTAAGAAACTGAGCTGAGGCATTCCAGTGAACACTGTTTGGTGTTGCAGGCACGACGTGGCAGCCCCCCTGAACCCCCACGCACAGGAGGTGTCCTGCTACATCGACTACAACATCTCCATGCCCGCCCAGAGCCTCTGGAGGCTGGTGAGTCCGCCGCGGCACACACTTTCTAACAGGACGTGGGAAACGGCCGTCCAGCCTGGGTCAGGGTCAGGGTCTCGGGGAGTGACAGCCCTCAGGCCGTGGGTGACAGCCTGAGGACACTGGGTCTGGCGCTGGTGTCAGAGCATCACCCCTTGGTCCCCCGGATCAGCCATTAGTTTCAGGGTGTGGGACTGGCCTCGCCTTCCCGTGAAGGGAGCCTGAGGGAACGTAACGGATCTGCTCTTCCAGAACATCGTGAACCGCGAGTCGGACGCTGAGATCTGGAAGACCATCCTGTCGGAGGTGCGCCTCGTGCACCTGAACACGTCCGCCGTCCTGAAGGTGAGGGCGGGCCGCCCCAGCCTGCACCTCGGCCCACAAATCTGCGGCCCCGGCCGAGCCTGCCCTCCCTGGACAGTGGTGCCCAGTGGGTGCCATTTCCGGAAGGTGGGCCTTTCCGAGGCCTCAGACTAAGCCTTGGCCTGAGGACCTCATGGAGCCTCCAGCTGGGCCTGGCTCACCCTCACCCTCTTGTCCACCTTCCAGCTGAGCGGGGCCCACCTCCCTGACTGGGGCTTCCGGCAGCTCGAGGTGGTGGGGGAGAAGCTGTCTCGGGGCTCCCATGAGAGCACCGTGTGGACCGTGGAGGAGCACCGTTACGGCCGGAGTGAGTGCCGACCCCGGGGCAGGGAGGGCCCGGTCCCCACGCTGCCGCACACAACACACACACACACACACACACACACACACACACCCCGCTGAGGCTGCAAACACGGGCGTCTCCTGGCAGGTCACAGGCAGTGTGAGCCCAGCCTTCACTCTCCAAGGACCCTCGGTTGTGGGTGGTTTCTCGGGAGAGCAGAAGGGGATGTTGCCAGTCGCCATGGGTTTGAAAGGCAGGGAAGCTGCTAGCGCCCACCCTGTGCCCAGCTTCCTGCCCTTAGCGGCTCCTGTTCTTTCGGGACGGTGTGTTCCCAGGCCAGGAGCAGAAGGAGAGGGAGCTGGAGCTGCACTCACCGACCCACGCGGACATCAGCAGGAACCTGAGCTTCATGGCCAGATTCTCGGAGCTGCAGGTGGGGAGCGGGAGGCAGGAGCGGGGCTATGGAGTCCTCCCTCCCCCAGTCAGTTACCTGGGACCTGACGCAGTGGGAAAGAAGCGTGCCCCTCCCTCCCGCCACCCAGCCACCCAGCATGCCACGATGCCAGCCCCAGTCAGTACGGCGGAGACCAGAAACACGGGCCCCTGGTCTGGGTGTGCCCTTAGATGAGATGGCTGGGGTGGCGCATTCCAGGTGAACTGGAGCGGCCCCCATGCGGTGCCGGCCGCCTGATGGGCCTCGGGCTTTTGCAGTGGAGAATGCTGACGGTGCGGAGTGACGACTCGGAGCATAAGTACAGCTCCACGCCGCTGGACTGGGTCACCCTGGACACCAGCATCGCCTACTGGCTGCACCCCAGGACCAGCGTGAGTGACCGCTGTGGCCTTACCCCCTGCTTCCCGCACGGTCCGCTGCTGCTGGGCTGGCCTCGCAGAGCCGAGGGCGAGGGCACGGCTGGGTGGGAGGAGGGCCTTCTGCTCCGGGCGCACCCGCCTTCCTGCTGTCCGTGTGGCCCCTGCGCTGAGCGGGCAGAGCTGCCTTCAAGCCCCTGTTGTGGCTGCACCCACAGCCTGCTCAGCCCTCACTCCTGGGATGACACGAGCTACCGATGCTCGCGGCCGAGCGGTCCCTCGCAGAATGGCCCACAGAAGTGCCTCAGCTCTGCGTTGCGCGGCGGGAGGCCCTCTGGGAGCTTCTCCTGGTTGTAGGGAAACTCGCCGTGTGCTAGAAAGTCCTAGGAAGGGCCTGTCAGGAACAGGCCTGTGCCTTGGGTCTGGGGCTTCCTGTGGAGGCCGCTGATGGTATCGCTGTCCTCAGGCTCAGATCCACCTGCTGGGGAACGTGGTGATCTGGGCTTCCGCCGGCCTCGCCACTGCACTGTACGCCCTGCTCTTCTGCTGGTACCTGCTCCGCCGCCGGAGGCATGTCTGTGAGCTCCCCGAGGGTGCGTGCGCTGCTCCCATTTCTCCTCCTCCTAGGCTGACCCGAGCTCAGCTCACCGGAAGCTCTGCCTTTAGGCGGCATCTTTGTTTCTGCATCCAGGGACGTGAATTATTGTGGTCTTCGGGGCTTCTTCAGGGGGTGCAGGCACTGGGTAGGGGGTGCAGGCACTGGGTAGGGGGTGCAGGCACTGGGCAGGGGGTGCAGGCACTGGGCAGAGGGGTATGGGCACTGGGCAGGCACTTGGCAGGGGGTGCAGGCACCTGGCAGGAGGTACAGGAACTGGGCAGGGGGTGCAGGCACTGGGCAGAGGGGTATGGGCAGGAGGTACAGGAACTGGGCAGGGGGGTGCGGGCACCGGGCAGGGGGGTGCAGGCACTGGGCAGGGGGAGCAGGCACTGGGTGGGAGGTGCAGGCACTGGGCAGAGGGGTACGGGCACCGGCCAGGCACTTGGCAGGGGGTACAGGCACCGGGCAGGGGGGTGCAGGCACCTGGCAGGGGGTATAGGCATCGGGCAGGGGGTGCAGGCACTAGGCAGTGGTGTCTGGTGAGCCCAGGGCGGAGCCACCATGGGTACCCAGTGGAGGGTCTGGTGTTTGCTCGTAACAGAAACCCACTGAACACCATCTCCAAACAGAAAGAGAATGAGCCTCAAGGCAGGCAGGGCCGAAGGCACCTCCCAACTGCGGGCTCCAGGCTCCGGGCACTGGCTCCTCCTCCCCACTGGATGGGGGCCCTCAGCTCCCGGAAGAGTGGTACCCACAGATAAGCCTGAGACAGGACCGTCACTAGCAGCAGAGGCGGGGGGTATTTCTCAGAGGAGGGACAGTGAGGACCAGCCTGTTCTTCCTGCAGCAATGGGGCGGGGGGAGGCGGGGGAGGAGTGGAGAGCCGAGCCTGCAGGTGACTTAGGGACTGGGAGCCCAGTCGGCTCAGCACTGACCTCTCCCCCCCCCCCCCCCCCCAGATTCCTGGCTGCGCTGGGTGCTGGCCGGGGCCCTGTGTGCCGGCGGCTGGGCGGTGAACTACCTCCCGTTCTTCCTGATGGAGAAGACGCTCTTCCTGTACCACTACCTGCCCGCACTCACCTTCCAGATCCTGCTGCTGCCCGTGGTCTTGCAGCACATCAGCGAGCACCTGTGCAGGTCTGGGCCTTGGAGCGCCCTGAGGCCAGGGGCTCCTGTGCGGCCATCACAATGAGGGGGGGCTGAGGCCTGGGTCAGGACGGGCCTGCGCTGTCTGGGGGATGCACAGCTTTGGGGTGGGAGACAGGAAGTAGGCCTGTGGTCGAGAAGACCAGGGGGAAGGCGAGCAACGGGAACCTGTGGGGGTTGTCGGCGGATTGCAGGGCGCAGAGGAAGTAGACCAGGAACTGCGTAGCCTGAGCTGCCCAGGCCGGGAGCCTGGAGGCCTCGGAGGCCGTGGTACACAGGGGTTGGCGTTCGGGTGGAGCAGAGGTTGGAGACCTGACAGGCCAGTGAGGGTCACACTGGGCGCCAGCAGGCTGGGAGGGGTGACGGGCGGGGACCACCAGGTTACAGGCTATGTGCCAGCGGCCCGTGGGGCAGAGCCAGCCCCTCACGCCTGCACTCTGCTCTGGTGCCCACAGGTCCCAGCTCCACAGGAGCCTGTTCGGCGCCTTGGTGGTGGCGTGGTACTCCGCCGCCTGCTACGTGTTCCATGTGCTGCGCCCCCTGACCTACGGGGACACATCACTGTCCCCCAGCGACCTCCAGGCCCTTCGCTGGAAAGAGAGCTGGGACATCCTGATCCGCAAACACTAGCAGACCCGCACGAGACATCCGGTCGGGACCCGGACTCGCTCAGGGAGCTGGCCAGCCTGGCAGGCGCTCCTCTGGTTTCCTTCACCTGAAGCACTTCGCTGTACTCAGGCGATGAAGAACACGCTGTGCCCACGAAACCCGGAGCCTACACGGACACGTGTGTGGAGTGGCTCGTGTGGGACTTGGCGACGGAGGAGAGATGGCAGGGAGTGCGAGTGACGCATTAGGGTCAGACCAGACGGCCGGTTTGCTAACAGACACACTTGGTCCTCCCTCCCAAGCTAGAGCCCTGAGGCCGGCCGGGGCCAGTCCCCAAGTGAAGACGGTAACCGTGCCAACCCTCTTGCTGACTGCAAACCGCGAGGCTGATGAGGAACAGACAGTCAAGGTGTGTTACCTGTTCCTTGTCCTGAACTTGCTTTTTTGTGAATTAAAAAGGGGCCACTGCCCTTGCCAGCTTGGTTCAGCGGACAGAGCGCCAGCTTTCGGACTGAAGGGTCCCAGGTTCAAGTCTGGCCAAGGGCATATGCCCGGGTTGTGGGGGCGTGCAGGAGGCTGCCAATCAATGATTCTCATCATTAATGTTTCCCCTTCTTCTTCTCTGAAGTCAATAAAGAAATAGATTTTTAAAAAATAATATAAAGGGACCACTGGTGTTCATATTGGTTATTTATTGATTCTCTCCCCAAAGGTCACAACATACGTGACAAAACTGTCACAGTCACCAGCAGCTGGCCATGGCTTGGCCCATGTCAGGAGTTGTGTGATCAGCTGCTACTCCATAGAAAGAACCCAGAATGCCGCGCAGGTTAGCAGTGATGGGGCAGGACCCTTTAACAGGTGGCCACCACGCGGGGAGGGAGACGGGCTGGCTTTGGGCCACGGCACTTGTTCATGACTCAGGGTCCAGCACGCTAGAGGCGGGGTAGCACCCGGGCTCAGGGTCCCTGGTGGACACTCCCCAGCAGGGGCTGGGCGAGTAGACGTCCCTGCTTCTTGCTGGTGCTGGTTAAAACATGCCTGCACCCCAGGCTCCCTCATGCCTTGCCCTGGAGCCCAGGCTGGGAGAAAAGAGGCACCCCGGTCCTCACATCAGCCAGTGCGTCCCACTGCGGGTCATGAAACTGGGTTACTAGCTCACACTACATGGTGTTAGGAAACACAACATGGGACGTACAACATAAAAAGGGGAAGTACTGTCACTTTCCGTCGCACACGTGTGAGAACTGATCATACCAGGACTCTGTGAGACTACGGTCATACACGGAACACGGTGTCCCGGTGTCCCTCCACCTCCCACAGCGCGGCCCCGCCTCCCCGAGCGAGCATCGCAGGCTGCCACTCGCCCTGCGGCATCGCTCAGTGACCTGGCCTCCCACCCTCCGCACCACGAGGGAGCAGATGCAGACACTGCCCCCCCCATTGGGTCGGGGGGACCACATGTCCAGGGTCCCGGCACTGAGGACGCGGACTCTCACACGGGCCGTCCCAGAGGCGGAAGGAAGCCGCAGGTGTTTGGGGGCAGGGGGCACCTCCGGGGCCTGCGGGAGGCCGTGTCCTCCTCAGTGTGGCCTGCTGCTGGACTCCAGGTGCGACCGCTTGCCGGGGGCCAGCACCCCAGGGTGGTCTCCGGGCTCAGGAAGCGTCCTCTTGCAGCTGCGCCCGTTGGCCCCTCCACGGTGCCACTTGCAGATGTCCCCGTTCAGGATGTCCTGGATGTGCTGCACAATCAGGTTGATGGCGACTGCACAGGGACAGACAAGAGTGTATCAGCCGGACGCGCCCTCTGCCCCCTCGCTGATGTCTGTCCGGCACCGAGTCTCAGAGGACAGGAAGCACACGTCCAGGCCTGGCACCGACTTGCTGGCTGGGTCAGCGAGCATTTCTGCTGACCTGCAGCCTGGTTAAGACTCCCTGCTAACAGTGACGCCGCCACCAGCTCTCTGTGCTAGCAGTCCTCCCACCAGCTTTATGGAGGTGTAACTGACCCATAATGCAACGCTGTCAGTGACCACAGGCTGGGACAGTGCCTGCCTCAGGGCTCTGGGTGCAGACAGGGGTCAGGCAGCCATCAGACCTGGTTCTTACCCATATTGTCAACCCCTCGGGGGATGATCACATCCGCGTATTTCTTCGTCTGCAACACACAAAGGAGGCTCTTTAAGGACCTGCCCCCCCTCCCCCAAGGTGACAGCCAGTAGCCCAGGCACAGCTAGATGCAGTGGCAGAGGAGCCAGCCCTGGGATGCCCGGTTACTGGGTCCCAGGCGGGACGGGCAGGGGGCAGGCATGGGCAGTTATCAGGAGGTGTGAGGATGGAGCTCCTGGCAGTGCAGCAGGAGGGGGCAGCAGCCAGGAGAACGGGCATCTCCTGCCTCCCTGAAATGCTGCTCTGCTAGGACAGGTCTCTGCTAACAAGTGAACCCGCTGGCCAGGCGGAGGTGGCATCCTCCACCACGTGCTTCCCCTGCAGGAACCCGGAGGAGCGGCAGGTGCGCAGGGTGCACGGCACAGAGCAGCCGCAGTGCAGCTGCCTCTCGCCAGCCCTGTGCTAGGCAGGGCAGGGCTGCAGGGGACACACCTGGGTCAGGCAAAGCATAGGGAGGGGAGGAGGCAACGGTGTGGCCCCAGGAATGGACTTATGAACCGTCTGGTGTCCGTGTGTGAATTTGGGCCAAGGAGACATGTTACAAGAGACGCGCCACAGAGGCAGGAGGGACAGCCCGGGCAGCTGTGTCTGCAGGAGGGCCGCGCGGCTCCCCTGGCCAGCTCACTGCTGCGCGGACAGGAGGTGGAGGCCAGCAAAGGGGTAAGCAGGAGAGCACATGCCGCCAGGTGAGGAGAAGCCCCCTGGGAGCACGGACAGCAGGCCCGAGGCCGGAGCAGAGGGAGCTGTGTGGCCACGGGGAGTGGCTTTTCTCGACAGAGGGAGCAGCAAGGGCAGAGGTGGCCCGGAGAACTGAGAACTCGCTGGGCAGCTGGGCACCAGCGAACTTCTCCACTTATAGATCAGACCCGTGCACCCCCACCCGCTCCCACAGAACTAGGCAGCGTGTCTCTGGAGGGAGGAGGCGGTACCGGCAGGCAGAACTCCTCGAAGGCTGGCTTCACGAAGGTGGTGTACTGGGTCAGAATCTGCTCCAGGTCCCTCCCGCGGTTCACGTCCCGGAGAACTGCGGCAACAGGAGCCCGGGGGCCGCCGTCAGACCGGAAACGCTCACGCAGCCCCGGCCCGGGACGGGGGCCGAGGGCGCCTCACCTCTCCGCGACAGCCTGACGTCGGAGTCCGTGTCCACGAAGAGGCGCAGGTGGAACATGTCCCGGATCTCCTGGCTGTAGAAGACCAGGATTCCCTCAAACAGCACCACGTCCGCCGGGTACACCACCGTGGTCTCCGGTAACCTGCGGGCGAGAGCAGGGGGCGGCCTGCAGGGGACGATCTTCCGGCCCCGACTCCACCAGGAAGCAGGTCCCGGTGGGAGAGGGGTGGCCACGGAAACCCACGGCAGGCCTGCCGCGGGCGGCCTGTACGTTAGGCAGCCCTCACTGCCTCCCGGAACCGCCGGCTCACCTGGAGTGGGTCACAAAGTCATAGGTTGGGACCTCGACAGTCTTGCCCTCCACAATGTGCTTCAGAGTCCTGTGCATCAAGTCATTGTCGAAAGCATCTGCAGGGACGGGACCAAAGGCAAGACAGTCCAAGCGTCCTGCGCTGGGACGGGGGGATGGGCGGCTTTCTCGGCCACAGCTGCTGCAGGTGGTACCGAGACCTCAGGGGCACTGGGGCCGGCAGTCCACAGAGCAGTCCTCACCCACAGGGTGGCCCCAGGCAGTGCCACTGCCCAGGCTGCTGTCCCGGGAAGAGTCAGCCGCAGAGCGACCACCTCGGAGGTCGGGGCAGGCTGGCCTCCTCTGGCCATGACCCTCCCCAACCCCCCAAATTGCCACCTGTTCCCCTATCGTGGTCATTCCCAGGAAACAGTTTCAGGGCCCTGGGCTCTGCTTCCCCTGGGCCTCTCAGGAACTTTGCCCCAGGCAGCGGGAGGGAAAGACCTCCGTGGACAACGGTGTGTGCAAAGGCCCTGGAGGGAGGTGAGTGGCCTCCCAAAGGCCCTCCCGCTGGCTGGCTCCAACCAGGGTGGGGCCCAGCGCCCACCCCACCTCGGGGTGGGGGTGTCTGGACAATTGCATGGACTCATCCAGCGCTCCCCAACGCTGGACGCCGCCCCCCCCCCCTCAGGGCGGCAGGTGTACCTGGGTGGTCGAAGTTGTACTGGCCCTTCAGGGCCTTGGCCTTCTGCTCCGCCGTCAGCACCTTGTAGAACCGGTCTTGGCTCAGGATGACCACCTTCCGCTGCCGGTGGTCCACTTCGTTCTGGCCCAGCAGCTCCATGATCTTCTCACACACCGTGGACTGGGGCGCAGACACAGGCCCTGAACCCGCCCGCCAGGGCTTCCGCCCCGAGCCCACCGAGCCGGCCTGGACACGGACCGCCCGCCCGCGTGGGCCCACCCCGCCCGGCGCCCCGCACCCCGGGGCTCGGGTCCCCTCCCCGGACGGATCAGGCCGGGGTCGCGGGGACGCGCAGGCCGCCCGCCCCTTACCTTGCCGCTGGCGGTGCCGCCGCTCACCCCGATGAGGAAGGGCCGCTGGTGAGGCCGGTCCGCCTCGGGCGTGGTGCCCCCGCAGTCGTCGCCTCCAGGCGAAGCCATCTACAGCCCCGCCGGTCGGCATCGGGGTCCTCGCCGCGGCCTCCTCCCTACAACCAGCCGCCTCGACCGCCCCCTCGCTAAGGTCGGAGACGCCCCCTCGGAGCTCCACTTCCGGGGAGCGCAGCGCGAGCCGGCGCGCGGGGCATGACGGGAGTTGTAGTCTGAGGCGGCGGTAGCGCTCGCAGGCTGGAGCCGCCGGCCCTGCTCTCCGGCTGTGCCTGGACCTCCGCGGCTCTGCGTGCCCATGTTTGCTGCAAAGGTACCTCCCGGCACATGGAGGGCGAATGTCATGGGATGGCCCGTGGGGAGAGTGTGCAAGGGGCCTGGGCCTCCTGAGCCCGTGGGCCTGGACAGAGGGAAGCTGATGAAGGGGCAGCCCAGCTGGGGCAGCATGCGAAAGCCACCCCCTACCTGAGAGGAACATATGGGCACTGAAAACAGGAGCACCGTTCACCCGCTCCCAGTGAGCCTGGCCAGGTTAGGGTTAGGCTTCAGCCAGCGAGCCGCCGAAGCCAAACTGCCCATAAAGGCCAGGACCAAATGGTGCCTTAGGGGCGGGAGTCAAAGCCACAGGCCCCCAGGCGGGGTCCTGGAACTCGTGCCCTGCATACAGCTGGCGCCTAAAGCGCCTGCCCTTCTGTGAGACTGGAGCCCCCCAGCACCGTGGCTCTGGGTAGGAAGAGAGTCGTCCCTCAGGTGGTGGCACCCTGGGTCGGACACGTGCAGAAACTAACAAGGAATGGTGCCCACCTGGGGGTTTCCCGAAGGACCATCTGTCTCACCAGGGCCCTGCGGAGCCCGCCCCCCCTTTACCTTCAGCTCCTGCAGACCTGACCTCACCAAGATGGCAGAGGCCCATAGGCCCGCAAGGGGACAAAACACCGGTTTGGAAAGCGCTCGAGGTGCTGGGGTCCATAGGGTCCCTAGGCCTGGCTGCCCGCTTTCTCCTTCGTTCTGCACCGCCCCCTGGTGGTCAGCGCGCGTCATGGCGAGCGATGGAACTCGCAGGCTCGGGCGGAGCCCCTGAGGGACACGCTTGTCAGCCTGTCTACACACAGAAGCTTGTTACAGTGAAGACGGCCCGAGGGCAGCTCCCCGTCCGGAGCTGGATCCTGCCGGGCAAAGAGCTCGGTGAGAAGAGGCATTCCCGCCCTGGCCGGGTTGGCTCATGGCTAGTGTCGGCCTGCGGCCTGAAGGGTCCAGGTTCTGTTCCGGCCAAGGCACATGCCTGCGTTGCGGGCTTGACCTCCAGGAGGGGGCGTGCAGGAGGCCCCTGGTCAATGATTCTAATCACTGATGTTCTTTCTCCCTCTCCCTTCCTCTCTGAAATATATATTTTAAAAAAGAAAGAAAAGAAAAAGAGAGAGCACGCGCCTGGGAGCACCCTCAGGCTGGGTTTTCTTTTTTAGTTTCTTTTTTATTATTTTTATTAGGCGGGGGTGTCCTGAGTGTGATTCCCCAAGGCTGCAAAGGCAAGGAGCCTGCACAGGTGTGTGAAGGAGCCTGCACAGGTGTGTGTCCCTGTGGCGCTGCCCGTGGCCGCCTGGGAAGGCTGGGGGAAGGGGGGGGGGAGGGGGGGAGACAGGGGAAAAGGCAGGGGGAAAAGCTGGGGGGGGGAAGGCTGGGGGAAGGGGGGAGGGAAGGCTGGGGGGAATGAGGGGGGAGACAGGGGGGAATGCTGGGGGGGAGGCAGGGGGGAAGGCGGGGGGGAAGCTGGGGGGAAGGCGGGGGGGAAGCTGGGGGGAATGAGGGGGGAGACAGGGGAATGCTGGGGGGGAGGCAGGGGGGAAGGCGGGGGGAAGCTGGAGGGGGAAGGCAGCGGGGAGGCAAGGGGAAAGCTGGGGGGAAGGCAGGGGGAAGGCGGGGGGAAAGGCTGGAGGGGAGGAAGGGGGAAGGCTGGGGGGAAGGCGGGAGTGGGGAGGCAGGGGGAAGGCGGGGGGGGAGGCGGGGAAGGCAGGGGGAAAGCTGGGGGGGCAGGCAGGGGGGAAGGCTGGGGGGAGGCTAGGAGAGGGAAGGCGGGGGGGGGAGGCAAGGGGGGAGGCGGGGGGGGAGACAGGGGAAAGGCAGGGGAAAAGCTGGGAGGGCAGGCAGGGGGAAGGCTGGGGGGAAGGCGGGGTGGGGAGGCAGGGAAAAGCTGGGGGGGAGGTTGGGGGTTAGGCAGGGGGAAGGCAGGTGGGGGCGGAGGCAGGGGGGGAGGCTGAGGGGGAGGCTCGGGGTCCCGCTGTGTGGTCAATGCGCAGACCTGCCCGTTTTCCGTCCTCGGAGGGGGGCCTTTGTGCGCATAAACTTTCTGCTCAAACCGCTTCAAACACCCCGAGGCCAGCTCCCTGCTGCAGCGGTGACTGTTCCCCATTCCCTCCGCGGCCTCGGGGAGCGGGGAGAGAGGGGGGGTAGAGAAGCGGGCGGAGAGGGGAGCTGTGCCGGCAGCGGGAGCCTGCGGCCCGGGCACACGGAGCTCCATCCAGGACGCGGCCCGGGGCGCCGGGAGCCCCGTGCAGAGGCCCCGGGAGCTCCGTGCAGAGGCCCCGGGCACAGGGAGCCCCGTGCAGAGGCCCCGGGAGCTCCGTGCAGAGGCCCGGGGGCACCGGGGGCTCCGTGCAGAGGCCCCGGGGCCCGGGAGCCAGCCGGTCCGCAGGGCGGGGCGCGGGAAGGCGTGACCCAGGTGCCGGCAATGGGACTGTTGGCTGCTGACGCCCGGGCCCGGGGCGCCGCCTTTGGAACCCGCACCGACTGCGCGGCCGGGGGCTCCGCGGCCCTCCTTCCCGCGGCCCCCGCCCCCCGTCCCCCCCGAGAGCCGCCCCCGCCCGGGCCTCCCTGTGGGCACCGCCGCCCGCGGTCAATTATTAACCGGGCGCCGCGCGCCGGAAACCCGAGCCGGGAGAGCGGAGCCGGAGGGGGAGCCGGTCCGACGGCGCGGGAGGCGCCGGGCGCCGGAGCTGTGCCGCCCGCTCCCCGCCGCCGCCGCCGCCATGGACGCAGGTGAGCCGCGGCCCTGCGCGCCCCCCGCCCCGCCGGGCTCGGGGTCCCCCCGCGGGTGGCGGCGGGGCCTCCGCGGGGCCTCCGGCTCCGCCCGGGACCCGCTCAGATGGGCCGGGCCCTCCAGCTCCGGTCACCCGGGCTCCGGAAGGGGGGCCCCCGGTGGTCCTGGGCCCGCAGTCCCGCCCCCGGCGGCCACCGGGGGCGTCCGCTCCCCTCTGGCCGGGCTGCGCCTGGGCGGGGCGGGGCCCCTGGCGGGGGGGGGGGGCGCCCCCTGACGGCGGGACCCCGGGAGGGCGGGCGGCGGGCCCTCAAAGCTGGTCAGGGAGCCGCGACGGGCCGCCGGGACCCGCCGGAGGCGGAACCGGGACGCCCCTCCGTCCCGCCGCGCCTGCCCCGGTCCGGCTGGGGGCTGGGCGGGGGGTGCGGAGCGCGGCCTGGTCCCCGGCATCCCGGAGGGGCCGATGCCCGGAGGGGCCGGTGCCCGGAGGGGCCGATGCCGGAGGGGCCGATGCCGGAGGGGCCGATGCCGGAGGGGCCGATGCCGGGAGGGGCCGGTGCCGGGAGGGGCCGATGCCCGGAGGGGCCGGTGCCCGGAGGGGCCGGTGCGGGGAGGGGCCGATGCCCGGAGGGGCGTGTGCGCGGGGGCAGGGGGCCGGGGCCTGGCCACTCGCACGGAATGGCCCTGACCGCCCCCCCCGCCCCTCCCGCCGGAATGTCCGAGGCTCGAGTGTCCAGAACCCGAGAGCCCGGCGCTGGCAGCCCCGCCGGCGCTATTTACTCGGAGGCTATCTCCGCGCCATCGCCAGGCATCTGCCCCGGGCGGGAGCTGCGGGTTTTGTTCCGGTAACTGGGGCAGGGCCTGGTGGTCCCCGGGGACGGTGTCTGAGGCTCGGGTTCCCTGCCTTTAGGAGCCTTTTTTCTCTCGCATCTGCGAAATGGGGACAGAAAAACAACCGCCCCCAGGCTGCCCAGGCTTGCAGAGCCTCAGTTCGCCCTGTGTCCGCTGGCACCATTCTGAGATGGTGGTTTTATTCGTTTTCGATGTCACGTCACGCAGGACAGGCCTGGATGGCAGGTCACACAGCCCATCCATGTGGTGGCTCGCAGGGGCCTGGGCATGGCCACTGGCCGGGAGCTCACCATCGTCACCGTCACCGTCAGCCAGGGGCACCCAAAGGCCCGCTGGCTCAGCCAGCAAACCAGGGCCCCAGCATGATGGTGGTGCCTTATTTTGTTTTGTTTTAAATATATATTTTTATTGATTTCAGAGAGGAAGGGAGAGGGAGAGCGAGAAACATTGCACACCCCCCACACGGTATCAAGCCCGGAACCTGGGCATGTGCCCTTGACAGCAATCGAACCTGGGACCCTTCAGTCTGCAGGCCAACACTATCCACGGAGCAAAACTAGCCAAGGCTTAGTTTCATTTTTTAAATATATTTTTATTGATTTCAGGAAGGAAAAAGAGGGACAGAAACATCAATGATGAGAGAGAATCACTGATTGGCTGCCTCCTGCACGCCCCCTATGATCGAGCCCATAACCTGGGCATGTGCCCTTGACCGGGAACCAAACCGTGACCTTCTGGTTCACAGGTGGACACTCAGCCACTGGGCCTCGCTGGGCTGGTGCCTCATTTGAAACTCCAGCCTTTGTCTGGGTGGGTGAGGCTGGGAGCTCCTGGCCACGCCGAGTGTCTGACCAGGTCTACTGGGTGGGACGGGGCTGGTTCCCAGGGGCAGGGATATTCAGGCCACCCCACCCTCCAGGAGACCAATCCTGCCCCCCCCCCCCCCCCACACACACACCGGGGTCCTCCGGGAAGAGCCCAGCGCTCTGGGTCAAACTTAGCCACAAACCTTCCTTAAGTGTGGACCTCCCTCCCCAACAGCTTTGTCTATACACACACATTCACACACACACACACACACACCCACACACCACTCCTTATAGCTTTCATTACACACACACACACACACACACACACACACTCACACTCATACACATACACGCACACATAC